GCTGACGCGGGTGGCGGCTCCCCTGGGCTCCTGGAACCCGAGCCATCATGTCTTATTTTTATCTCTGGGAAACCGAAAGGTGCTATAATCTACCACATTCATCACAGCCTCCCTCCCGTGCTCAGCGGGAACACGGGTGCAGAGGAAGGAGGGGTACTGAGCCCTCATTAGTATCAACAATTAGCAGATCCCCTGGCACTTGTAAGTGGCTTTGCTCAGAACCTAGTTTGTAAGTGTCCTGCAAAGCAATAAAGGAGGTGTGAGTGTACTTAGTGTCTCTGATCTCGGATGTGCTATGACAGGTGCCTCCTGATTCAGGTCTTCTAACAAAATAAAAACAGAACTAAACAAAATAGGAAAGAAGAAAAAAAAAAACCCTCATGAAAGCCAACTATGGAGAGCCCGGCCCAACCTGTGAGCGGAATGAAGCACCAACAAGCTTCCTCGGGCACCGCAGTCCCGGCACACCGCCATCTCCCCGGGGACCGGGAGAAGCATCTGGGGACAGCTATGAGAGCAACTTCTTTTTGAAAAACCCACATCTAATTCTGCAAAACAAGTTACTGGGTTGGTAGGTTGGTTGGTTTTTGGATCTGCAAAATTTTATTAAGCAATAGCTGAACAACTCTTACACTTCAAATCATCAAGAGAAAGGAGATTAATTCATCTCAATAATAAAGACAAAATAATTTTGACAAACCACATCATTTTGGATGCAAACCGTGAGTGCCTTCTAGAATACCTTCCACACGATCTAATACACAAAGTACATTAAGAAGAGAGGCAAGTCCGATTGAGCTCTTAGAATGCAACTGGGAATCTCAACAGATTTTCGCTTTGGAAGGGGGGAAAAAAGCAGGATGCTGAAGTGAAAGAACAAAGGCGCCAACTCTGGCGGGGCAGGCACAGGAGCCCGAGCCAAGGTTTGGATAAGGACCTGCTGGTGGTCGGGTTTGGTCTGGGACCATGCACCTGCGTCGCGCACTTGGTTACAAAAATCACACACACAGGAAAAGGAAAACACCAGTAGTAATAAACTTGGGAGTTATGTCCACATTTACAGTACCAAAATAATGCATTTAGGAACAAATGCAGTAACAATACCCCTTTGGTAAATAATACAGTGTCTTCTCAGTCAAACGCATAACCCATGCTTTTCAACAACATGAAAAAAAAATTTATCTATAATAAACACGAAAGATTTTAGAACCCTCCCTCCCCGTGAAAAGAACTTGTAAACAGAAAATATAGGTACAAGTAAAATGACAAAACAAATTGCACAAAGCCAAAAAAATGAAAACAATGGAAGCCACAACCCTTCAGAGTTTCATCAGCTGGAGATAAGAAAATACACAGATGTGAAGAGTTGTGTGCGATTACAAAATCCCAGGAACTCAATGTTTGCGACACGCTTTGTTTCAGCTAACTTCATTCGCAACCATTGACTTGACCAGATGACAGATGGCACACAGTGGGCTCCAGAGTGCATGTCGGCCTGGGCACATGCCACTTCTTAGCTTTTTGCTGAACTCACTCCAGGGGCCAGACCCGTGAGGACTCACTCTACAGGTCAGCTTTCAAGACGACTGCGGGGACAGTGCCCACACGGAGCAGGCTCCTCTGGTTACTGGGAATTGGTGCACGTGTGTAAGTTTTCTGAGAACACGCGATTCCAATGGCATTGGCTTCTAGAGGTGAACTTCTAAGGATGTCATTTTATACATCTAGAAGCTAGCTCATTAACGAAGGGAACATTTCTCTAGGAAAAGGGGCTGTCTCCCAACAAGCCTTCCAAGGCAAAGGAGAACTGGGAGGCTTCCCCAGGCTGAGTGACCAGGATGACCGGAGGTGGGGGGTGGGCAGCTTGGGAAGGCCTTCCAAGCCATCCTTTTCGTTTGACAGGAGGACCAATGAGGCACAAGGCCACCCTCCAAGAGGGCTGTACCGTTGGACTTGTCCTCACAGGATGGCAGGCGAGGGAACAGTGGGCAGGAGGAAGATTCCTTAGCTGCAGAATCCTTGGCCTCGACTGTTGGTGGGACATTTGGCAGTCCTGCTTCCCAGGTACCAACTTCCTTGGGATGTACCTGCAGTGGGAGCCCACACACAGCAGTGCCTTTGGTTTGAGGAGCTCAAAGGGGTTCTGTGCCTGTTACCATACAGCGTCCCTCCAAGAAGGCAAGGGTTCCCTGGGACTTGACTAATCACGGGGTTACTATTTTTATATTCAGGGGTTCAATGAGGTATCTTAATATTCACAAACTGCTAATGACATGAAATATGTAAAATCCCGCTGCTTAAAGTACTGACCTTAGTAATATTTAACAAACTGAAACTGACGGAAGGAAAACAAGTTTTCAAATAAGTAAACCGATCACCGGTTTCTTGAAAGACACCGCATTAAGAGCACCAACGACGACGTCTGTTAAAGCGAGATGGTGCTGCCCCCCTCTCCCGCCCGGGTGCGTTGGGTGAGGCTGGGCACTCGCACTCAGTGGTGGGGGGGGGTCCTGCAAATCACCCAGACATCTGGCCTTTGACTCCAAGCGGGGAAAGAGCTTTTGGGGGAAAGCTTAGAGTCGAGCGAGTTCCATTCATTCTTGCTACATACACTCTCCTCACATGTGTATTTGCAGTTTGTATTCAAGAATTTCCCCCTTGTGTTTGTTCTAAAATGTTCCCTTATCGAGGTCTTTGTTTGTGGGTCTCACCCGGCGATGCTCAGAGGTTACTTCTGGCTCTGCACTCAGGAATTACTTCCAGTGTAATTCTTGGGAGACCATATGAGATGCCGGGGGATCGAACCTGGGTCAGCCCAGGCCTGTCCTATCATTCTGGCCCCCTTACCATACTCTCGATATTTCAAAAACCAGAGTTTTAAAAACTGAAGCTTACTGATGGTTCCTTCCTTTGAGACCCATTTAAATAACTCTCCTCGTTTCATATTACCTTTTATTTTCAATTAAAAATAGAATTTTCAAAAGAAGGGGAGTTATTTTTGGATGTCAGCACAAAGAACTCTTCTTTGTATATAATCAATACTTAAAAAATGCAAAATAATTACTTTTAGAGACTAATAGGAATGTTTTCCCATTTAGAAAATGTTACAAATTGTCCAGCAAAAGGCCTTCTATCATATCCTCTTTATTTCTTGCAGCAAAATGTACTGCTACCAAGTAAGTCATTACAAACCATACTATTTTCCTAAATAAATAATAAAATGGGCATAACTCACCAATACATAATAACAAAATAATTCCTAAGAACACTATTAAAGCAAGATAAATAATCTCTCGAACGGTAAAACAAGGGGACGGCATTAAATTATTTCAGAAATAGGATATAACCATTATTGCACAACTAATAAGAAGCACAGAAACATCTTATCAAGCTACAGAAACTCATCCAAAAAAACTGTATATTTAGGAATACACTGGTGAATTCTTTCTGAAAGAATTCATCCACCAAAAAATATCAGGTTCGGTATTTTAAAATAGAAAACGGGAAAACTCTGGTGTTAGCAGGAGACGCCCTTCGTTCTCCTGCAGACCTTGAGAGCGTCCCTGCCAGGCCTGGAGAGACGGGGAGGGCGCCGCCTCGCTCTGAAGAGCAGACAGGCCAGTTTCTTTTGTGACTTCCAAACCAAAACCGGGAATAAAAAAGCCACCTTTAGGGAGATACTTTTTCGGTAGTATCTCCCATCACTCCACTTTCAAACAGAACTATGCTGGGACCCCGCGCGCACGGCAGGCCCGAGCTTCTGCTCTCGGCCACATCTCCGGTTTGGCAGCCGAGAGGCGTGGGTGCTGGGCTCAGTGTGTCCTCAGTCCCCTTTAGTAATCAACAAAGACTAAGCAACCGACTTAGCACTATCATTCGAACAAAGTGGGCCCAGTGTGTATCTCCTCAGTAAGCAGACTGTACAGTTAATAAACAACCCTTTTGGCCGAGAGAAGATGGCGGGGCCAGAGTCAAGTCTCTAACTCTGCCTTTTCCTAACCGGCAAGTGCCAACCCATTGCGGCTCACCTTTCTAGGCTACCGGGAAACAGGGGAACTGCAGGTGGCCGAGAGGAGGGAAGCTTTCAAGCCAGAGTCGCCGGCGTCTGGAGGGGGACATGGAGCAGTGTCCTCGAATAGCCACGGGGATGTTTACTGCCACCCTCTCCAGAAGAAGCACTGAGGGGAGGACAAAGGGCACTTCCGGACAAGGAGTCGCCAGTGGTTTAGCGCGACAGCACACAGGGGAAACGGCCAGCCCGCCTGCTATCTGCTCCGTTCTGCAGCCGCGTGCTGAGCACGGGATGGGCAGAGTCTGGGGCTGGGGAGTGTGTCCCTGTGGCCCCTCTGGAGAGGGGCAGACCCCTGCACCACCTCCTGCCTCGCTCCTGGCCTCTAAGCCCTCCTGCCCACACCCCGTGGGGAAGTTTCTGACTCCTGGTTCTAGCACCCCCACAGAAAGCCAACTCTAATGAAGCAAACCGTGTGCGTCCCCCAAATACCCTTCGTCAACCGAGTCCCTTGTGAGGAACAGCTCACTGTGAGTGAACTAAACGTCGTATCCCCAGAGAAACCAGCTTTAGGTTTTGGGGTTTTCTTTAAAAAAGATGTTCTTTCTCCACTACTGGCAATGTTGAGAAGTCTTAAGAGCTAGATGGAGGGGTGGGGGCATGGAGCACCCTTGGCCGCGCAGCAGGGCTGACCCCAAGGCCGGCTCTCTCCCCCTGCAGCCCAGCACCACCGCACACCAGATGCCGCTTCCTCCAAGACCCAGGGCCTCGCCTGTTGCGTGCAAAGCCCTCTCCTCCTGTGTTTTTTTGTTTAAAAAAGAAGAAAGACAACAAAGGAGAATAAACGCCCCAACAACAATGGATAAAGGTCAGTGCCCTCCACGCCTCTCCTGGGCGCAAGAGACTTCCAGTTTGCTCTTGTATTCGGGTCCCAGGCCCCGGCGGGCGGGCGGTGTCTCCCGTCAGGCCCCTTTGGGGAGGATCCCAGCCTCTCTGCTTCTGCATCCAACCTCCTCACTTGAGGCGCTGAGTCACGTTGGCCAGCGCAACCGCAAAGGCCTGCACAGCTGAGAAGGGGTACTGGAAGTCGAGGATGTAGGCGTTGCCATCGATCCTTCCAAACTGCATCACCTGGGGAGGGGGCAGGAAGCGAAGACATTAAAGCAAACCGGGTGGGTGGCAGCGGGGCCGTGCCGGCAGGGCTCCTGGTGGAAGTGGGCAGCAGTGGGCAATCAGCTATTCTGGCCCAAAGCTAGTGTCATCAAAGGTCTCGGTCTAACTGCACACTTGTCAGAGAGAATGAGGGACACACTACCCGGCACCGGGGATGGAAGCGGCAGCGGGCACGGGAGAGCTCTGCGGGCCGGACACCGCGGTCGGGCACTCAGCAAGTCTCGGCCGAGACGGGAAAGCGGCTTTTGACGCTGCCCTGCCGTCACACCCCCTCCATGTGGCTGTTGGAGGGCGAAGCAGAAGGCAACGCTGTGTGCACAGCGAGCTCTGGAGTGGCCACGCTTGGCCACCCTCTGCCGGGAGGCTTCCAGGCACACACGGCAGGCGGCCAGGAGCTGTCAGGTGAGTAAGTGAAACTGAGATCTTAGATCTGGGAGGTGAAGGAAATTCCCGGAAGAGTGACCATACAGCAGGGCAGGTGCGGCCATGCCAGGCTAGAGCAGGAACAAGCAAGCGTTCACATGTAGCCGGAGAGATTCACAATTTGCTTGAGAATTAGGGAATAAACAGGCTAACGGGGGAAAAAAAAAAAGCGAACCAGCAAACCAAACCGTAGGCCACATGTGTCTCGGGACCCTGGTGAGGAAGGGAAGGCGGTGCAGACGCGCCCCCTGGCGGCAGCGTCTCTGCGGGCACAGCGGGCAGTGCTGCCGCCTGCGGGGAGGAAGGAAGCGGGCAGAGAGGCCCCCCGCAGTGCCGAAGGATGAAAAACCCTCGTGAGAAGAAGCTGACACAGGAAGCCAAAAAGGGGTGTGTGGGGGGACACGGGGAAATAAAGGCGTTCTTTAGACTGGTGGCAGACACCAGCCAGGGAGCCAGGCAACAGAGCTGGAGGCACAAAAGCTACGGGAAGCCGCCTCCTTCCGGCCTCGTTGGCTTTAAAGAACCCTGCACGCTTTCCCAGATAAGAAATGCGCCAGCCAGCGAGAGCAACGGGCCTGAACCTCACAGCATCCCCGAGGATCCCACCTCCAAAGGCTCGGCCACATGCCCACCAGGACAAGGCTGCAGTGACCCTGGCCAGCCCTGGCACCCCGGCCCTCTTTCTTACCTGCCGTCCCTCCAGCTCGATCTGGAAGTTCTTGGCCGACTCCTGGGTCACCCGCCCCCCAAAGTCCAGCTGGTACACCTGCGTGGCCTCGTTCCACAGGGGCTGCTTGTTGGCCATGACGTACACGAAGCCCTGGCTGCCCAGCCGCCCGTCCTCCTTCTCGCTGGCCTTCCGGCACTTGAACTCCTCCAGCTCACTGGCGGCGCGCAGGCTCCGCTTGCTCTTCCAGCCCTTCTTGCTGCCCTGGCTCTGGTTCATGAGCTCGTCGCCGCTGATGAAGAGCTCGGGCTCGCTCTCCGAGCTGTCCTGGAACTCGCTGGTCTTGTTCAACTTCTTGGACTTGAGCTGGTCCTTCTGACTCTTCACTTTCTTCTTCTCTCTCCCCAGGCGGGGGCTGGAGATCAGGGAATTGAAGTCGCTCAGAGTCCGAGCCTCCTTCTTCACTTTGCCCTCCGTGACCGCCTGGACGCTTCCTTCCTCGGCGCGGCTGTCCAGGCGCTTCCGGTTTTTCTTGCCGAATTTCTCCGTCCGCTGGGGCACTGGGCTTTCCGTCAGGGACAGCACCTCCTGGAAGTTGTCCGCAGTCTCCACCATCACTTCCGTGCCCAGGTGGCTCTGGAGGTCGGTGGGCGGTGGGGACACCAGGGGCTTCTCCACCACCAAGTGCGCCTTGTGGGGGAGGGTGCCCTGGGGGTTCTGCACAGGGGGGCAGGCGTTGTAGGAATTCCAGGGGTGCAAGGCGACAGGCGGCAGCTGTAAACTAGAGCACGTGCTGCTTCCCGGGTACATGGGGGGCAGGGTGCAGTAGGAGAGCGCGGGCGGGTAGGCCGGCTGGAGGACCACGGCCGACTCCTGCTGTGCAAACTGAGCCGGGGTCAGCGGGTCCTTCGGGGAGCAGGGGGCCTGCACTCCCGGCAGAGGGGGGTTCGCGTAGTTTCCGGGGTACGGCAGGCCCATCCCGTAGCCTGTCTGGAAAGTGGCAGTCGGGCTGGCAGGAGACTTGGGGGAGACGAAGGGCACGCGGGCCACGTCCAGGTGCTGGCTCTGCCCCACCACCAGCGGGGGCAGCTTCAGGGGGTTGGCCACCGCGGGCTGTGCTGTCCTCTCCTGGGGCACCCAGACGTCCTCCCCCAGCACAGGGTCCCACTGGTACGGGGGCGGCCTTTTCACCGCCACGGCGGCGGCGGCGGCGGCGGCGTCGGGCCCCGCGGGGTGCCGCAGGGGCTTCTCCGCCGCCGGACAGTGCTGGCCCAGCGCCTCGTCCTCGGTGAAGGCCGAGTTGACGTAGTCCGCGCGCTCGCGGGCACCGTCGGGCGGGCCCAGGAGGCTGTAGGACGACTGCGAGGTCAAGGGCGAGGTGCTGGCGGCGTGGGCCAGCGCGGCGCCCGGGGGCGCGCAGGTCCCCGCGGCCGGCTCGGGGCGCGCGGCGGCGCCCCCGCTGCACTGGCTGCAGGTGTACAGGGCGGGCGGCGGCCGCGCCGGGAAGGGGCCCGCGCCCTTGGGCTTGGCGGCCAGGGGCAGCGGCGGCCGCGGGGGCTCGGCCAGCTGCGCCGCCTTGAGCGCCACGTCGCGGTTGTTGCGGCGCAGCGTGGCGTGGATGAGGCTGCTGTCGGGCGCGGGCCGGGGCACGCGGCCGGCCAGCGGGCCCGCGATGTCGGGGTAGGGCGGCGGGTCCCCGGGCGGGATGGAGTAGCGCGGCACCGTCAGGCGGTTGAGGGTGGCGCTGGCGCACGGCGGCGCCGCCTTCTTCTCGGTGCCCGTGAGCCGCAGCGTGGCCGAGCTGCCGGGGCCCTGCAGGCCGTAGGCGTTCTGCGCGCACAGCACCCGCGTCCGCGGCCGGCACACCTCCTCCACGTTGCCGCTGCTGTCGAAGGTGGTGATGCGCTCGTAGCCCAGCGGCGGCTGGTAGTGCGCGGCCACCGGGTACAGCGAGAAGTCGCCCTTCTTCAGGCACACGTCCACGGGGGGCTGCGGCGGCGGCAGCGGGGGCGGCGGCGCGGCCGTGGTGGGCGCGGCGGGGATGGTCCCCGGGTAGGGGGGCGGGGGGTTCATCTTGGCCACCGGCACGTCCTGGGCGGCGCCGAAGACCAGCGCGTCGCCCTCGGCGGCCAGCGGCGGCGCGGGCCGCAGGGCCTTGGGCGGCTTCTGCAGGTGCTCGTGGTGGTCGCGCTCGCCCGGGTCCGCCCCGGGGAGCTGCAGGGCCCCGGGCGCGGGCGGCGGCAGCGCCAGCTGCGGGGGCGTCGGGATGAGGCGGCCCATCTCCATGCCTCCGAAGATCACCTGGCCCGGGCTGGAGTAACGGTTGGCCACCGGGTACTGCGGGCCGCTGTCGCCGGCGTGCTCGGCGCCGCCCACCGCCGTGGTCTGATTGGTCAGGACGTCGAGCTGCACGTTCTGATTGGCCAGCAGGGACTGCACCAGCCCGATGCTCTGCGTGGGGGACATGGCCTGCGCCGAGCTGTGGATGGGGGCGATAGGGATGTTCACCGTACAGGGCGGGTTGTTCTCGGGCACGCCAGGTGCTCCCGTCACTGGGAGGAAATTAGAGAAACGAACTGCTTACAAACGGGGCCACGACAGCGGAGGGAACAAGCAATACCATCTCAATCAGCCTGTCCCGTGGCACAGAAAGCGTAACCGCTACAGGCGGGAGGTCTGCTGGGGGAAACCTGGGCTGTTCGCACACGGCACAGAGCTTCTCGGACGGTTCTGGAAGGGCCACAGGTAACTGGTGGGCTCTGCAGGGCAGCCTGCAGTGCTCGTTAGCTAAGGGCCAGTGGAATGCTGCTAAACCTTCTGGGTTTGGGACCGTGTGCCCAAATGGTGCCATAGCAAATATCTCAAATATCTCGGGGAGTGTTTAAAGATGCTTTCTTACTGACGATAGTCCCCGCACAGTCCACTCTTGGGCAGGAAGAGGGCAACGGCACAGTATGAGACTCATGATAACTAGTCTTCTGAGTAGGCTTATCCGCGGCTATGGGCTGCTTAGTGTTGGAACTGTCATGCAGTGTCATGTGGCAGATAGGGATCTGAAAAGTTCATATAAATTTCTGTGAATAGAACCAGATACAACGGGGCAGAAAGACCCATCAAAGAACCCTTTCCTATATTACCTCTGCAGCATGTCCAGCGGCAGCGGGGCCACTGCCTGGAACTGCACCCACGGACGCGCTGGCAGCTAGGGGTGGCTGGGGAAGAGGCTTGGCCAGGTCAATTCACGGCAAGGGCAAGACCTGCCCTTCCACCAGGAGCACTACCCCCGGTCTAACGGACTTTCCTTCCCCTTCCCTGGGTCCCCCGAGCGGACAGGCTGCAGGAAGCTGGCTCCTGCCTCATGCTTTCTGTCTCTCCTGCACAGATGATGCAGCTGGCTGTGTCCCGCGTGCCATGCTAATGGCAGGCAGTGCCTACGGAAAAGGAGGCTTTTGTTGAGTCACCCGTTCTCTCTTCTCGATATGAAGCGCTGTCAGCCCAGCAGGGGGGAGTGAGAAGGAGCTGCATTCTGGGAGAAGAGAGAGGGCCTAAAGGGAAAGTGTTCAAGAGACTTCCCAGTCCAAGGCTCTGAGAGGCCGGGGGAGGTGCCACAGCTCAAGTAGGAGGCATCACCAAAATGCAGGTTTCTGTGACCGTGAGACCAAGCTATTAAGGCGGGAGCAGTCTCAGATACCCAGATTACCCCCCCCTACCCCCACTGCTGAGGAGAGGCATGCCTGGAGCAAATCCTGTCCAGAGAGCCCAAGTTTGGCTGTGTCCTCCAGTGAGGAACCAGGGACCCCGTGCCCACAACCAGACTTACAGAGTGGTGCTCAGCTGAGAAACAGCAGGGGACTATCATTATAAAACTGCAGGTAGAATTTTCAGAGAATGATTATGTAGAACAATTGGCCGATTAATCAGGAAGGTTACTATTAATCAAAACAGGACCCTCCCTCACTAGAATTTACTGAAGATGTTCAGTATTTGAACATGTATAAATTGGCATTTAAAATATTGGTACCAGGGCTGGAGCAATAGTACAGTAGGTAGGGCACTTGTTTGCATGTTTTGACCCATGTTCGATCCCTGGCACCCACATGGTCCCCTGAGCTCGCCAGGAGTGATCCCTGAGCACAGAGCCAGGAGTAATATCTGAGCACTGCTGGGCATGGGCACCCCCCCAAACCCTCTCTACAGAAAAAAAACAACCAGGAATGGGTATCAGATTTTATCTGTAACTGAGACAAGGTTTCTCTGCACTAGAAAGAGAGAGAGAGAGAGGAGAGAGTGAGAGAGTGAGTGAGTAGATGGTGGGTAAGCTGACAGGCCTCGTGTGTGTGTGTGTGTGTGTGTGTGTGTGTGTGTGTGTGTGTGTGTGTGTGTGTAGATGATGGGTAGGCAGGCAGGCCCCACCAAGCTCTGAAGCTAGGCAGGTTTGCCAAGAAAGTGCTGGGTCACCACAGCTCCTCTGGGAGAGTGTGAGGATAGCTCTAAGCTGGGCCGAGAGGTGCTGGCTGGCAATTCGAGTCCTAGTTAGTCTTACACCAAAGTCTCGTGGGCTGTGGCCCTGAATGAAAGGATTACCGTGGGGGTGTGGAAGCTGGTCACTGTGCCCTGTGAACAGGAGGCCACGTGTCCCTCGTCAGCCTTGCTCTGCTAGCTTCTCCTGCCCCTCTGCAATCCCTGTGTGAGACCCCAGAAGTGATGGCAGATGGGACTACCGAGTTGTGACCCTTGATGCCTGACCGCTCTGTCGCCTGGCTGAGGGCCGAGGGCAGCCTGTGAGCCAGCTGCTGTGTGAACACACCTGGTAGATCATCTTCATCTTCGCTGAACACATTCGGGTTGAAGACAGGTAAATTTACATAGTCCATGGAAATCTTCCGCACCTCTGGGAGATAGATGGTCATCTGGCGCGGCTGGAGATGCAGGAGGCTGGTTTTGTAGATTACTGAGGGAGAGGAGAGCAGAGACAGTCAGAGAGAGCCGGGCCAGCAGACCCTCTCCGCGGGCACAGTCTGGGTTCAGTAATGGCTCCATCTCAGTCTAGCCTGCCACTTTGAGGGACTTATCTACAAGGGCTTCTTATGCTTTTCCCACTTGTGACCCCAGATACAGATATGCTGATCAAACATTTGCTGATAATAAATTTACTTCAATAAATTTACTTCAAAGAGAAATGTTCAGAAGTTACATGACCCGAATAGGGCTGCAATCCGATACAAGAAGCTAGAGTCTGGCCAACCACATCTTCTGAATGAGTCATGTATGATCAATGTATTTTTAAAGATTTCTCTGGTAACCAGAATAACAATTTCATGACCGCTTCATGAGTAGCCTGAGTGCCCTGTGCTCTGGACTTGGCTTCTGGGATGGAAGGAAATGCCGCCTTTCCTCAGGGCTGACTTCTCTACTGCTCCGACCGCCAGCTGCAGGACACAGGGCATGCTAAGGGAAGTCGCACATGGTGCGTCACAATGTCGAGATTTGATTTGATCCTGAAAGCTAAACAAGGGAAGGTCTTTGTATCAAGTATCTTTCATACAACAAAGATACTTGAGAAGAGGCAGGAGAAACAGACAGAGGTCAAAGCACTTGGCTTGTCCATGATCCCCAGCGCCACTTGGGGTTCCCTGAGCCTCCCCAGGAGCGATCCCTGAGCACTGTTGGGTGTAGTCCCCAAACAACAACAAAAACAGGAGACTGTGCAATTAATCCATATGACTTTAAATTTCACAGTACATTAAAAATCAAGATGGAAGTCTCCCGTTCTGTCATGCTTAATACTTTTCCTGTTACAAAGTGTCTCTTTATTACTATTTTGCTCTGATTGGCTGCTCAGGCCAGCCGATGTCATATGAACACCCGCTGTAGACCTTATTCATCTTTTTTTTCTTACACCCACAAAAAAATGGAAATTTCGGCTTAAAAATCCTAGCTGGTTCCAGAAAAATGTAAGAATCTATGCATTAGGGGCTGGAACAATAGTACAGAGAGGAGGGTTTTGCCTTGCATGCAGCCAGCCTCGGTTTGATCCCCAACTTCCTGTATGGTCCCCTGAGCACCGCCAGGAGTAATTCCTGAGTGCAGAGCCAGGAGTGACCCCTCCAAAAAAAACCCCAAACAAACAAAAAGAATCAATTCATTCAAGGTTCTATTCTGGAGAAACCCATTTTCTCCCTTGAACACATCTTTCTCTCCTCTCACGTTTCTCTAAAATTCCTTTAAATGAAACTGTATTACTTCACTAAAAATTAAATAAGCAAAGTGCTCTTTGTCATTCTGACAAAACAGAAAAACTTCAAATCTCAGGAGAGATGAAAAAAATATCATCAGTTGCCTCTAAGGGGCTGGAGTGATAGCACAGCAGTAGGGCGTTTGCCTTGTGTGCAGCCAGCCCGGCGGAGCTGGGTTTGATTCCTCTGCCCCTCCTGGAGAGCCTGGCAAGCTACCGAGAGTATCTCTCCCACTCGGCAAAGCCTGGCAAGCTCCCCGTGACATGTATTCGATATGCCAATCACAGTAACAATGTCTCAAAATGGAGATGTTACTGGGCCCACTTGAACAAATGGATGAAGAACGGGAGGACAGTGCTACAGACAGTGCCTCTAAGGGGTGAAAACTAGAGATGAGAGATTTTTGATGTTTACTTTTTTTTTTTTCTTTCTGGGTCATACCTGGCGATACTCAGGGGTCACTCCTGGCTCTGCGCTCAGGAATTACCACTGGCGGTGCTCAGAGGACCAAATGAAATGCTGGGAATTGAACCCAGGTCGGCCGCGTGCAAGGCAAATGCCCCACACGCTGTGCTATCGCTCCAGCCCTTGTTTACATTTTTAAATCATTTGAATTTTGAATTCTATGTTTTTAAAAGTTAGAAATTCAAAAATTCCAAAATGAAAAAATTTCATGGGCCAAATCATTCTAATCGAAGGGGTGGGGGAAGATGATGATCTAATACAGGAATAGTCCCTTCTTTTCAGGTTATTTAATTAATAATCAAAGCTACTAGGGCACTATTTATGACATTCCTTTTAGACGCCAAGAGTTCATTTCTTCCCTCTAGTCGTGGAAGTGGAAGACTCTGTGAGGGCCAATGACCTGCACTGGCGAATGTTCTTTAGAGACCCCGGGCTCAGCACAACGCCTTCATGGCAGTCCCAAGCATTTGTCCCAGTTAGCAGCCTGGGCCAAGGGGCAGTTCCATTCTCCCCACTCTAGAGCCCTATTTGAGGATCTACTCAACATCCAAGAAAGGGCAGGGGCTGGAAAGATAGTACAGCAGGTGGAGCGCTTGTCTTGCACGTGTCTGAGGTTCGATCCCTGGCAACCCATATGGTCCCCCAAGCACTGCCAGGAGTAATTTCTGAGCATTTCTGGGTGTGGCTGAAAAAAATAAAAACATAAAATAAGGGCAACATGAAAAACACACATGGGCTAAATTCCCCTTTCCATTCCTTTTCTCCCTGTTTCCAGTGGCTGAGAGCAAAGTTCCGGCTTACTGATGAGCCCTGCAGGAGCTCAGTGAATCATGAGGGGATAGCCACAGAGTTCTGTGGGGTCCTGGCTGCCAGGTCTCTAGGCTGCTGATCATACTGGAAGAGATTTCTGTGTACTATGTGCAGGAATGGTTTATTGTTATTTCCTTCAGTCAGTTTTATATTTTACGTTTATTCCTCATTTTCAGCTGAAAAAATGTCCAAACAAATGCTACAAATGCAACCCTATTTATAACATTTCTGCATATGTAAACACAGCAATAGATCTTAATATACACTTTGCAGGATGTTTTCATTTAAATAATTTGTTAGTATTTTGTTTGGGGGCTACACCCAGGAGTGCTCAGAGCTTACTTGGGGCTTGGGTGACCGTATGGGGTGCCAGGGATAGAACCTGGGTCGGCCATGTATAAGGTACTTGCTCTAGGGATTATCTCTGTAGCCCCAGAAGTCCCTGAAAGAATCTGTGCTGAAAATAATAAGCAGGCTCAGAAATTTTTCAAAACCTTATTTGTACATGATACTGAAGATGGGGCATCCTGCTGGCTAACCCGGCCCTCTAGAGGAAAGAAATGTAGCAGCTGCCGAGGAAGAAGGGGCACCACCAGCCTCCCGGGGCCCGCGGCTCCAGCTGCCATTTCCCTCCCTCACAGTCCAAGTAGACATGACTCGTCAGATGGGAGAGCAGATAGGAAACAGAATTCCGAGTTTGAGCCCCGCTTTGGACATGGTGCCTTTTCCTCAACATCCCAGTCTCACGATATCTGCCTGCTGTGTGGAGATGAAAGCTCTTGACTGAGTGCTCAGACCTCTGCCAAGCAGTCAGCCCACTTCTGGCACCCAAATCAGCCCCCAGTGAAAGGGTCTTAGGAAACAAGAGCACGCGGGCCAGAATCAACCTGGACGCTAATTGAAGTTTCTGTGAACTTGGCATGGCGGGCGTCATCTGGGCAGAACGTGCCCTGGCCCTGTGAGGTGCCGAGAGCTCCTTTCCTGCCTCAGGCTCTGACAGCCAGTTTGCTCCGTGTGGCTCTAACTATGCAAGTGAGAGGGGGAACTGGGTATGGTTTTACCTGCACCGAGGTTGGTTGGCAGGAAAGCAGCCAAGCCCACAATCTTAAATTTGGTTCCCCAGATATTAGACGTGACCTGAGCAAGATAGTTGTGCTGTAGGAGGGGAAAAGAAAGAGATCACAATCAGTTACTTAAGTAAGAACTTTTTGAAAAACGTTTTTGGAAGTCCAGAGTGGCAGAGCAGTGGTTAGGGCACTGGCCTTGCATGTGGCTGACCCTAGCTAGATTCTCGGCATCCCATATGGTCCGTGTGCACTACCAAGAGCCATTCCCGAGTACAAAGCCAGGAGTAACCACTGAGCACCACTGGGTATGGCCCCAAGGAGAAAAAAAAAAATTAAGAATAAAGCTGTTGATGAGTCCTGCAGGAACTCTCCTCGTCTGAGACAGACGCCATCTACAGCATCACGGAGCCACTGCAACTTAGTGCTCAGAGAGGGGCCTCGCTGGCTGTAAACTGGTGGCGGAAGCCCAGCACGCCAGAGATCACACACGTGATTCCATGATTCAGGCACTTTTCACCAGCCCTCCCCACCAGCCGCGGCTGAGGCAGGTGTGACTGACCCTGGGTCCATTTTGATTCTGGGTATTTCTTTTGGAAACATCAACTGTCTCCATACCATTATATCGGAAACAACCCAATGACCCGATTCCTAAGGTTTTTCGGGGGGATGGGGGTTGAGATCTAACCCAGGCCACACACATGCAGACCAGTGTTCTATCACTGAGCGACCACTGCGGGTAACTGCAGTTTTTAAGACGTCCAAGCTCTCACAATCCCCTGGTTGCATGGGGCACATCTTCGTGCCAAGACACCGGCAGAGGCTCAGCACCTTTCCTCAGAGGGCTGACAGGCTGTGACAGATGAGGCGCGAGGAAGACCGCCGAGGCTGCGCGGGGAAGGAAGCCCTCAGAACAGGGCCAGGCCAGACTTCAGGCACCGGCTCACCCACACAGGAGCAGAGGCCCTGTGAGCCCCAGGGAGGCCAGTCCAACAGGAAGTGGCATGGTGCCCATGGCTGAGGGGCCCTCAGGAGGCACCAGGAGATCCAGGCAAGGCCAGACTGGGGCGACCCCCGGGGACTGGCTTCTGCAGACCTGGGGGTGTCAGGGGCCTGAAGAGGCTTGAGGGGGCAGAGGGGAGAAAAGCGGGGGAGGGCTGAACCTGAGTCACCGGGGAGGTGGCCCGGGGCCGTGGAGCAGTGGCGAGGAGAGGGAGAGGGGCGCCAACAGGCTGTGGTGAGCGGCGCAGGAAGGGCCCGAGACAGACTCTACCTGAGTGATGTCTTCAAAGGGAAACTCTCTGCGCGTCAGGCTGGGCGAGCCAATGGAGGGCTTGCGCATGGGCAGCCGAGGGGACCGGGACAGCTCCTGGGCCGCCCGCGACAGCTTGGGAGACTTCCGAGCCTCGATGTTGATCCTACGAAGACAAGGCCGGGAGGGTCAGGCCCACCCGCAGGGAGGACACAGAGGCCTGTCGGCCCGGGGCTTCACTTCTCAGCACCACCCCTGGGTACCACCTTCTTGGGACCCCACAGCTTGACTGATGCCCACATCGTCTTCACTTTCTGAACTGCAGCAAATTGGAATTACACGCTAAATAAAATGTTTCAAATAGACTCAGGAGAGGGTAAGTGATTCATTTAAAAGGAACTCCAAAGAATTAGCTGTTTTTCACATTCTCTGAACATAGAGCAAGGTAAGTGATGTGCTTCTGTAAAACCCTTTGCCAGCATTTACAAAATCCATCTTGGGGAGTCTGCTGAAGAGTCAATTTCATCTTAAGGTCAGTGACTTAGAAATTCTTAATATAACATTTGTATTTCAACAGACTTATTTATCTAGCATCATAAAACCTGCGAGAAGTTAATCAAATAAGTGATTCCAAAGTTTTCCTCCTGCTTTGATGACGTATTTCTGGTCCTTAGATGTTTTGTTTGTAACATGGGGGCATGGTTTTGATGATAACCAACTCCAGAATAGTTATAAAACTTAGTATGTCAAATTCACATATATTGTTTGAAGGTTTGATCAAGTATCTAGTGCTCTCAAAGACTGGAGAAGGGGTTGGGGGACAGGGTTGGGAGAGCCCCCTGCAAGGACAATAAGCCTGACTGGAACTCAGTGCAAGGCAACACAGGGAAGGAAGGCCAATTAGTAACAGAAGTGTTTGAGAACTTTAAATGACCTGACATGAAGTTGCTTATGTGTCAAATATCTCATCTAAGGAAGAAAACAAAAACTATAGATGAGAACGAGAGTGCACAGTTTATTTGTACTTTTAACAAGTTTAGAGTAAATACGAAAAAAGTCACACTGTTGGAGCAACGAATCACGAATCACGACCATCCTGTTATTCGTTGATTGCCTCGAGCAGGCCCCAGTAACGTCTCCTTCATCCGAGCCCTGAGATTATATTCAAGGCTCTTTAGGAGAATGAGACCCATCAACTGTTACTGTTGGAGTAACAGTATGTGGAAATTGAACGCTTACTCCTAACTCATACTAAGTATAAAAATTAACCAGAAGTGGAGCCAGAGTACGGGGTAAGGTGCTTGCCTTGTATACAGCCACTCTGGGTTTTATCCCTGGCACCACGTATGGTCCTGGCATGAGTGACCCGAGCACAGAGCCAGAAGAAAGCCATGGACATGGCAGGATGTGGACCCTAGACAAAAATCCCTACACTAACTACTGTATTAACTTGTGACCTATGTCTGAAAACTAGAACTGTAAATATTTTGGAAGAGGAAAAAAGAATGTTTTCATAACCTTGGAGTAGGCAAAGATTTCCCAAATCGGCGGAAATCATGTGTGTAGGATGACGGCCTTGCATATGGCTGACCTAGGTTTAATTTCTGAGCACAGAACCAGAAGTAAGACTAGAGTGTTGCCAGGTGTGGCTCAAAAACCAAAAAGAAACAAAGAAAAAGATTACCTAAGCAAAAAATAAAAAAACACCATGAAAGAAATTTCTTAATTAGATGACATGGCAATCTTTATAGCAAAGAACTAGAGTTAGTCTTTTGCCATATAACGGACTCTCAAGACTCAGAAAGAATCCAATAGCAATGGGCAAAAGGGGCTGAACAGATAGTACAGTGCTAGCTTCACAAAAGGCTCACCTGGGTTCTATATCCAAATGGCCAAAAATATTAAAAGATGCATAGCATCATCAATTATTAGAGATATTAGGAGGATTACACTACAATGAGACACCACAACACATCCAAGAATCCAAGAGACCTGGTAAAGTTATTTCCTTAAAAGATAATGCAGTGGTCAGGGAAAAGGCCTGACAGGGCTGGACACAGGCCTTGCATGGCTGGGAGTGACCCTGAGCAATCGAGCCAGGAGGAGCCCCTAACACCACTAGGTATGGTCCAAAGACACAGCAAGAAAAAGACAATGTAATTGGAGGGAACCACGGAAAAAACTGGAACTCTCAAACCCTGCTGGTGAGAACTAAAACTGGTGTAGGCACTGTGGAATACTGTTTGGCAATTTGGCAGTTTCCCATAAAGAAAATTTCTTCCTGAGGTACATAAACAGACTTGCATAAGAGTGTCTGTAGTGTTTTCATTCATGATGGCTCCAAACAGGACATTAGCAAACATCCATTCATTTGAAAATGGAACGAACACATCACAATATTTTCATTACAATGAAATTTTACACAGCAGCAAAAAAAAAAAATGCTGCATGTGCATGGACACAACATCTATGGATCTCAAAAATCACCTAAGTTGAGGGGGGAAAAAATCCAGGTAAAAAGCATGTATTGCCAAACACTATTCATGTGACATTCAAGAATAAGAAAAACCAATCAGGCTATGCAGATACAAGCTGGAACAGTGAGTACTTCAGGTAGCAGATGGAAGGGACAAAGGAGTAGGGGACGTTTTAGTAAACATTTTCATATCTCAACTGGACGGAGAATACACCGATTCTTAGATGCCCGATAATGACACGATTAGTGGGCGGTAAGTGGCGTGTTTGAATTCCAGCAGGTAGGCAGCTGTACATAACTCATACCTTAATTTTGCATGACAGCACAGAATTTTAGAGTTGGAGGATCTTTGAGAAGATCTGGCCTCCCCCCTATTGTCTCCAGACAGGAGACTGTCCAGGTTACGGAGCTGTTCAAGGCCAACTGTGATTCCAAGTTACTCAGCAGTGGTGGCAGGGCCACCCTGTGCTGGCTCTATCTACCCGTGGGTTTTGGCCATTTTCTAGAACAGACTTTTTTTTTTTAAGTATAGTTTTCCCCCTGCTACAATACTAGAGGCATTAAGTACGGCATTTTCTTCAACATATCATATATTCTAGCAGTCTCTCTCATCATCCTGGAGAAGAAGGGGTGAGCGAACTCCTTTCTAGGGGCAGTTTTTATACTGCAGGAGGAGGGAATCTTCGCCATGCAGGCCGGGCCGGGAGGTCCTTACCTGCACAGCAAAGCACATTTCCGGAGGCACAGAACAGGCAGAGCCCCTGAAGACAGAGTTTACCTTGGGAGTTTGGGAGACTTGCTAGCGCGGGAGACTTTGGGAGACTTCTTGGCGGCCCAGTCATCACTCAGCTCAATGTCACTGGAGTCGGAGCAGTTGCAGCTGTCCACGACAGTGGAGATTAAGCTGTTACCGTAGATTTCATCTGCTGAGAAACCAAGCGGCAAGTGTGAGAGTGGTACAACAGTCATTCTCCAGACTGACAGACAACGCTGGGGCGATCATTTTCACTCATAGGCTCAATGGGATTGTTTCCCCTTCAGTATTTCTCTGCCTCTATGTTTCCTGATCATGGTATCTCCCCTGCCAGGTAAGTGTGGAGGAATAGCACAGCGGGTAGGGCATTTGCCTTGCATGCGGCCGACCCAGTCAGCCCAGGTTCAATTCCTCCGCCCCTCTCGGAGAGCCCGGCAAGCTACTGAGAGTATCTTGCCTGCATGGCAAAGCCTGGCAAGCTACCCGTGACATATTCGATATGCCAAACACGGTGACAACAAGCCTCATAATGGAGATGTTACTGGGTCCGCTTGAGCAAATCAATAAACAACGGGGGGATAGACAGATGTTTCGTGAGCAATAAGAAGGCGGTTACTTGGGGCAGAGACGTGGCTTAAACAGAGAAGTGCTGCTTTGCATGTCAACAAAGTCCAAGCTCGGAGAGTGCTCCAGAAGCACAGGGCTGAGAGTGGCCTCAACACAAGGCAACTACTTCTACCATAACTGAGGTGGCCATTTAATGCCTCTAGGAATACATAACAGTCTGGTGCTATTTGCTGTGCCAACTGGCCAAAATGGCTGCGCCATGGTGCCTCTGGTGATGCCAACGGATGGGCAACGGCAGGCGCACAGTCGCTTACTCACACCCTGAAGACCATGCTCTCAGCTGGCACCTGGGAAGCCTGGTGGGCGCTGGGCCAGCTCTGGACAGACAAGAGGCCAGCAGAACTGGGAACTGGGCCCCGCCTCCAGTCTCTGTGGGAGGCGATGCTGCTGAGTAACCCCCAAAGGCTGCCAGGACCCTGGAGGCCTGCCTGGCAACTGCTGGGTTAGCAGCAGTCACTGGGCAGCGGAACGGAGACCTCAAGGGAGAAGCGGCACAAAAGGAGTGCGGGGGGGGGGGGGGGGGTTCATAAAGCACAAGGAGCTAGCAATAACTCTATAAGCCATGGTCAAATAGAAAATTATAAAAACAAATTCTAAAACTAAACCGAACCCAAACCCAAGCCAAGTCTTGATTCCCCACTGGAGAATCAAGGTCCTATGCTACTGTCCTTTTTTTTTTGTCTGCATTTAAAACAATTTTGGGGGTCGCATTTGGCGATGCTCAGGGGTTACTCCTGGCTCGATTCTCAGGCACTCAAGAATTACTCCTGGCGGTGCTTGGGGAACCATATGTGATGCTGGAAATTGAATCAAGGTTGGCCACTTGCAAGACAAATGCCCAACCTGCTGTACTATCACTCTGATCCCAATCTTCTGAATCTTTTGTTGATTCCTAAGTATTTTATATTTACGGATACTTTAAATTGATGTTTCATTTCTTTTCTAGTTTGCTATTGGCATGTAAGTCTATTAGAGGAAAGCCTTTCATGTATTTTGTTACTTGGAATACTTTGTTGTACTGTTTCTAATTGCTTTTTTAGTGAAGTATATATGCATATATGCATGTATATGTAAATCATGTCATCCACAAAAGTGATGGTTCAACTTCCTTCATTACAATCTGGCTGTCATTGATTTCTTTTCTTGCCCGATTGCTGTTGTGAGAACTTCCAAACTGTATTAACTAATAGTGGAGATAGTGGCTACCTTTGCCTTGTGCCTCATGTTGGGGAAAACTTTCTGTTTTTCATCAATGGGTATGATGCTGGATGTGGGTTTGTTGTAAATGGTCATTGCTACTTTGAGGTCCTATTTTGAAGTTTTCTGTTTTTCCTTTTTACTATGAATGCATGTTAAAGCTTATTAAAAGCTTCCTCCTCATATATCTGACATGATCACAGGGTTTGTCTTTCCTTTTGTTAATACGGGAAAATATACTTATTGATTTGAACGTACAAAATCATCCTTGCAATAACAGAGTTGAATCCCCTTGACGATGGTGTGTGTTTCTTTTGATTCATTGTTGGATTTGGTTCCCTAGGATTTTGTTGAGGATCTTTGTGTCAATGTTCATCAGGGGTATTGGTCTATGATTTTCTTTTTTAGTGATGTCTATCTGTTTTTGGTATTAGGAAGTGTTGGCTTCAAAGAAGTAGTTAGGAAGACCTCCTGTTTCCTCAATATTTTGAAAAAGCTTTTTTTACAGGCAACAAATCTTCTTTGAAGGTTTGGTAGAAGTCACAAGTAAACCTATACTGACCTGGATTTTGTTCTTGGGGAGATTTTATATTATTATTTCAAAGTCCTTACACATGATTGGCATGCTCAGGTTTTTACTTCCGCCTGATTCAATTTAGGAAAATTGGATGAGTCTAAGAATACATCCATTTCTTGTAAGATCGCTATCTTAGTGGCACAGAGCTGCTTACAGTAACCTGAGATGATCTTCTCCACTGAGTTATCTGTTGTAATTTCTTCCCATTCATTTACGATCCAATATATCTGGGGCTTTTCTCTTTTTGAACTCCAGATTCTTCTTTATTGTTTTGCAAATCCAGCTCTTTTTGTTGCCCTCCTTCTACTTTAGGACTCACTTGTTCTTTTTCTCGGTCCTCAGCTATGAGGTTAGGTTATGGATTTTAGCCATTTCCTGTTTCTGAATGTAAATCTGTATTTATATCCAGATTTACAAACTCCACAACTCCCCCGTATGCCCCTCTTCCCCCTATATTACTTTTGTGTCCCACTGACTCTGACCGTGTTGAGGAATCTTTTGATTTCTTCTCCGACCCAATAATTATTTAGTAATGTGTTGTTCAGTTTCCAAATGTTGGTGTTTTCCCCAACATTCTTTTTATGACTAATTTCTTTCTTCATGTCACTGTGGTCTGAAATGATTCCTGATGTAACTTCTATGTTTGTGACTATGTACTTCTGAGGGTTGGAGCGATAGCACAGCAGGTAGGGCGTTTGCCTTGCACGTGGCCAACCTGGGTTCTATTCCTCCATCCCTCTTGGAGAGCCCGGCAAGCTACTGAGAGTATTCCGCCCGCACGGCAGAGCCTGGCAAGCTACCATAGCCTATTTGATATGCCAAAAACAGTAACAAGTCTCACTTCATGTTCCTGAAGCGAGCAGACGCCATAGAGCTACACAAGCATGTGACAGGGACAAATGGAGGAGTTACTGATGCCTGCTCGAGCAAATCAATGAACAACGGGATGACAGTGCTACAGTGTACTCCTGAAATGTGTCCCAGCACACGGTTATTCTGGTGAGTGTTCACGCACACTGGAGACGAAATGTGTATCTGGCTTTTTGCGGGGTGGAAGGTCCTGCACATATTTAATTAATCCTGTTCTTGTAATTTCTTGTGTAGGGCTCATTTTCATGTTGATATTCTGCAGCTAATCTGTCCAATGGTGAGAGTGGAATGGGCCTAGTACTACTGTGTTGTCATCAGTGTCTCTGCTCAGGTCTATTAGCAGTTGCTTATAAACTTTTCAGTCCTTTCATTTGGTGCATATGTGTTGATAAGCATTACGCTTTCTTGATGTACTGATCCCTTATATGGAGTACATAATGTCCATACCTATCACATATTACAAATGCCAGATGATAAAAAGGCCTAATCATTCCATCACAGTGAATAAAACAATATATGGGAAGTACGAAAATTTTTCCCAAAAGGTGCATGCTCATTTTGAGGGGATGTACTAATCTAGTCTCTAGATTTCTGAGAGCATGGAGATGACGACAACCTGGCTGCTACCTGGAGAGGCCGATGCCCGTCTGTCCCCCATACCGACCCCCTGTGAACTCTACAGAGTGGGCATGTTCAAGTCTGACCACAAACACAGGCACATGGACACACATGCTTCATACTGTTAACCATAGCTTGGCCACACTTCAGACATACAGAAAGTTCACAGGAGAGTTCCCAGACATCATGACCTCACGGCCAAGCTGCTACCCTGACTGCTAACTTGCCACTGCTCAGGTTTCACTCTACTCCGCCGGCTGTGCTCAGGGACTACACCCAGAACGCTGCCTGGGGGTGACTCCCAACAGTATTTAGGGGACATGATGTGGGGAAGAAACCTGGGCCCCTGCATGCAAAGGATGTGCTCAGCCCTTTGAGCTGTCCCCACCATCTCTACTAACTGTTGATGCAAAGATCTCCCAAATGCGGGGCCCCACACACCACCTGCTTTGATTCTTAGTTTGTATCAATGGTGCTAACTGCCTTGAAAGCCACAGAAACCCATTCACCATGGTCTGGGGATGGACCTGAGGTCGGTGCCAGTACAGTGCAGCCAGAGTCCCTCTGGAGGGGTATAGGCTGCTGACTTCCTGTTCTGTTTGCAAAGTAGGTTTTTCTGGTTGGTTTCTGGGTCACACCCATTGGTGTTCAGGTTTGGATGACACCAAGCGGTGCTCTGGGGACCATGCCACGGCAGGGATGAAACCCAGGCCTCCAGGGCATAAGGCATGAGCTCATCTTGCTGAGCCATCTCTTTGGTCTGAAAGCAGCAGCTTGGAATTTTTCTAGGACCTTTTTATAAAGACACTGAGTCCGTATGCCCTAACAATCTCCCAAAGGTCTCATGAGTCCGGGAGGAGGAGGGAGTGCACATTCAAAGCTACTTTGCTTTATGTTGTGTGTTCAGGAGACCCAAGCACCTCCAAGCAGGTCTGTCTGCTCGATACTAGGCTGACGACGTGGTGCTGCTCCCATCTTGGGATGTCAGGACTATGCTTGGCAGTGCCTCAGGCTCCTCTGGGTCACACCCCTGCTTCCTCACAGTGACTTTTGTCAGGGCTGGAGCAAACGTAAAGCATGCAGGAGCTCCAGGTTTGATCCTTGGCACCACATGATCCTCTAAGTACCACTGGGAGTGCTTTCAGAAACCACCAGGAATAACTCTCAGAGAATCGTGCTGGTGGTAACCCCCAAATCAAACACCAGAGAAGAGAAGAATCCATCAGCGTTGCCTGTTTCGCCAACCGGTTTCTCTTTCATGAGAGAAGAAGAACGGCCAGTCCTGCCCCTTGCACAGCCCAGATTCTGGAACAATCTGAGGGGTGCATGCGTACTTCCTGAAGAATGCTGAGGTCTCTCCTGCTGTCTGGTCACATCTCACATCAACTCTAACAGAATCTGGGGGGTAGGATGGGGTGGAGCATGGGCACTAAATAGTTGGAAAGCTCCCTGGACCAGATGAGAACACTCAGGAAGGACCGAGGAAGGTTCTGGAGAGGGTGCACGAGTAGGAAACGCTTTCGGGGTCCAGCGCCCAGGGCCCAGCTACTGTGGTTGTAATTACATAGCCGAGGCACTACGTCTGCCACCTGCATCGATACAACCAGACATTCAGGCCCCTGTATCAAATCAAGAGGCAGGGCCAGCAGCCAGAGACACTTCACACTGCTAGAGAGTCTCGGATCATTAAATTAGAATGGAAATTCTGTAACAAGCACCCAAAAATGTTAGTTCTACATAGAGAGTCAACTAACAATCAAGTACCAAGAACAGCCAATGAGCAAGGGGCAGTCTCTTCAACAAATGACCATCAGGCCATGGGTGAAGCTCAGCAGAACACTTGTTCTGGGAAACCTTGGGTTCCATTCCTACCACAGTGCAGAATGAAACCGAACAAACGACGCAGGTGGTAGGTGTGGTATAGCAGCACTGTGAGCACAAAACAGTAATAATAATATTGCAAGCATTGATACTTAAATTTTAAAAAAATCTTAAGAGTTTTGTATATATATATATATATATATATATATGCACTTAATACTTTAAAAATGCTATGAAAACTGGATAAACACATACAGTTTAAATTGGACCCAAGTCTTATTCCATTCACAGTCACGGTCACGGTCCTCCCGTTGTTCATCGATTTGCTCGAGCGGGCCCAGTAACGTCTCCATTGGAGACTTTGTTGTTACTGTGTCTGGCATATCGAATACGTCACGGGGAGCTTGCCAGGCTCTGCCGTGCGGGCGAGATACTCTCGGTAGCTTGCCGGGCTCTCTGAGAGGGCCGGAGGAATCGAACTCGGGTCGGCCATGTTGGCTGCGTGCAAGGCAAATGCCCTACCGCTGTGCTATCGCTCCAGCCCATTATTCCATTCATAGAAATAAACTCAAATGGGTCAAAGCCTTCAATACGAGAAAATGCAGGGAAGAAACACCTCAGTATTGGTCAGGACCAGAGGTCCCCAAGCTTTTCTGGCTTATCTCTTTGCAGAGAGAGCTCAGTGGACTCTGGAGACCGACCTTGTGTGAACAGACAGGAATCACCCACAAGTGCCCTGAGGCTACTGCTGTCCCTGGGCCATTCCAGCTCCTGCTGTTTGGGGCACTAGGGCTCACTGTGGTAGACACTCAGGGAAAAAGGATTCTGGGGCACAAACCCCTGCAGCAAAAATCAACAAATGGGACTAAACCAAACAAGAGCTTCTGCCCAGCACATGAACCAACTGACAGAAAGAAAAGGCAGCCTACTGAGGGGGAGAACATTTCTGCAAAAATCTGATGAGCAGTTAATATCCTAAATGAAGAACTGAATCAACACAATACAAAAAAAAAATCTGATTACAAAATGGAGAGGGGTGGAGCGATAGACAGTAGGCTGGGCATTTGTTTTGCACACAGGAGACCTGGGCTCAATCCCTAGCACCACATGCAGGTTCCCAAAGCTCTGCCAGGAGTGATCCCTGAAAAACCCCTGAGCACTGCCGGGTGTGGCTTCAACACCCCCTCCCCCACAAAACAATCAGTCCTCCTTTTGACCCACCAAGCCTGTGTCCAGCCCCACCATGCTGCCCCGTTTAACGGCCCCGTTTAAACGACAGAATGGACATGATTGCCTCTAGAGAGGACCAGACTTTGGACACTGGGCGGCCTTTCTCACCCGCAGGCCTCCATGGGCAGTTCCATGCTAAGTGTTTTCAGAGTGAACCTGAAGATTTGGGCCTCTTAATTTGCATCCTTTTGTAGTGTTTTCTGGGCTGAGTGACTAGCAAACTATTTTGAAACCAACTAGGCTGAGAAGGGCTGGGCCATCATTACTGAGTTAGGACTCTATTCATATTATTCTCTCAAAGCCCTTTCAAACGCAGTAAGGGATCAGGGCATCAGTACACGAATGGGGGGTGGGAGGAGCGGGAGACAGAAGCTACTGAAAATTTTACTTAAAATGCCTTTTGAAAGTTTGTGGATCTTGATTTTAAAAAAATTATGCAAACTCATACTATGTATTAAAAATCAGTGGCAATTTTGAGGAACACATTTCTTATTTCTTAGAGAACATTTCTAATGTGGCATACAAACTTTTGTGCATTAATTCCTAGGTAGCTCAGGGGGCAGACTTCTGAGACTTAAGTCATTTGCTGGGTCATGGAGAGGAAGGAATACACAGGACTGCATAGAGGGAAAACATACATACATACGTGTGTGTGTGTGTTGGGGGTAGGGAGAGGAGTCAGTGAGTGTGAGCGAGCACTCTTGGGGTCTCAGGGACCTCACCGGTTAACAGAGCCTCTCAGTCAGCACCTGCCGTCTCTGGAACATTTTCTATTTTTATCTTAGGCTATTTGGGCTGGAGCGATAGCACAGCGGGTAGGGCGTTCGCCTTACACGCGGCCAACATGGCCGACCCGAGTTCGATTCCTCCGCCCCTCTCGGAGAGCCCGGCAAGCTACCGAGAGTATTCGATATGCCAGACACAGTAACAACAAAGTCTCCAATGGAGACGTTACTGGGCCCGCTCGAGCAAATCGACGATCAACGGGAGGGCCTTTACCTTTACCTTTACCTTAGGCTATTTAAATTTTGACTTGATTCTTTGAACTTTCCAAGCATTTAAGGTATAATCCAAAGGGATTACGAACTCCACAATGGCAGAGTTGCCTTTAACAGATCCCGAGAACCTCGGGAGTCTCAAGGCCCCGCCTAGTAGGCACGCCATACACGGTCTCCATGATGCTCTCATCCTCATTTCAGGAATCCGCATCTCATCAGCGGCGGGGTCTGCACATGACCGAGGGGTGGCAGCGAGGTATGGGCATGCCAAGCTCCACCCCAGTCTTTTTCTCCCATTTGATTCTCTGCTGGGGACCCCGTATGTGGGAACAGGGTCTGGACAACTGCATACCTGGGCAGAACACTAAGGACGACACTTGAGAGGGATTGTGACCGCACCAGAGTTTCTTTCTCTTTTGCCCTTTCGTGGAAACTCGTCTCAATTCCAGCCTTTTCCTCATTCTTCTTTTTCCTTCCTTTCTTTCCTTCCTAGCCGTCCTCTCCCCTTTCTATCTGTTTCCTCTCACCCCTACAGATTCGATCCCTCTCCCTGTATTATTAGCATCAGTTTTTCACCCAGTGTGTGAGTGTGAGTGCGTGTGTGCGTGTGTGTGTGTGCGCACGTGCGCGGGCATGTGAGTGTGTACAGGTAATGTTCCCAAGTGATGCCTAAGAGCCTGGGGTCCTTCTTGGTGGCTTAGTCAACCGAGCATGGGGGCACGAGGATGTGGTGCCACCACAGAGAGAGCCACAGACATCCCTCAGCCGGGCCTCACACCATGCATACTCAGCACCTCCCCACATACCAGCCCTTTGCGCTCTCTCTCTCTCTCTCTCTCTCTCTCTCTTGCTTTTTTGGGTCACATCTGGTGAAGCCCAGGTTACTCCTGGCTCTGCAATCAGGAATTACTCCTGGCAGTGCTCAGGGGACCATATATGATGCTGGGGATCGAATCCGGGTCAGCCACGTGCAATGCCCTACCTGCTATGCTATTGCTCCAGCCCCGCCCTTCTCTTTTTAAGGGTTCTTATCTAAAACCACCACTTTAGGGAAGAAGAGACAGTACAGCGGGTAGGGCGTGTGCCGGGTGTGGCCCCCTGCTCTCCAACCCCACCACTAAACCTAGACCCCACACCTAAAAATGCACTACCTTAGTTATCTCCAGGCTGTCCTGTCCGGGAATCACACAGCCCCGCCCCGGCCCCCCCCCCCCTCCCCAAACGCCTGCCAGGGCGGTCGGAGAGAGTCAGGCCCAGCATCGAGACTGAGCTGCGACCCCGACCAGCAGACCGCTGGGCCTGATCCCCGCCTCAACCGCCACAACTGAGAGCAAGGTCTGAGTAGCTCTGCCAGGGCTCACCTGACTTGCTATCCGTCCGGGGGTCCATGATGACGAACTCCGGCCGCAGCTTGCTAATGCGCCGCCCCTTGAGGATGGGCACCAGCCCGCCGAGGTACTCCAGGTAGAGCGTGTAGCACGGGCCGCCCACCTCGGGGTCATCCTCGGTGCGCTTCATGGTGCAGTGCAGACGCTCGTTGCCGGCCGAGGGGTAGCTGACGAAGTCGCGCATGTTGTTGGGGTCTGGGATGGGAGGCTGGAGGCAGGACCGAGAGCAAAGAGGCAATCAAGACACGGGCGTCGTGGCTGGTGCTGGGGACGAGCAGGGCTGCGGCTGGGGGAGAAGCGGTGGGGCTCACAGGCAGGGTGCGCGCCCGAATCTCAGGGCCCGAGCCACGGTCGCACCTCCATCACCCAAGCCCCGTCTCTGAGCACTGTGTCTTCCAACTTCCCACTCTCCGCCCTGAGAAACCCCCCTGCGGGTTGGGGAGCCGGCTCAGGACCGCGGCTGGGGCCGGTTCCCAAGCCGGCTCTCCAGGAGAAGCAGCGCCTGCCCGGCTGGGCCCGGCACCTCACTCAGCTGCTGGCAACGTGTGTCCTGCTCCCCCCAGCGGGACGAGGGCCGTGGGGACACCAAGGCGGCGGTGGACAGAAAAGACTGGCAGACTCACAGCTCCCCCCTCCTCAGCCCACGCTCACCGGCGAGCAGAGGGCTCGAGGCCGTGTTCCGCGCTCCGAGCTCTCCCTGAAGGAAGGGCGGGAGGAAGACATACCTTGATGGTGGGGATGAAGGCTGTGGAGAGGTAGGAGCAGAGGCGGGGCGGCAGTGCCAGCTTGCTGACGTCCTTGTCCTCGCGCAGGGCGCTGGCGATGGCCTGCTGGCACAGCAGCTGCAGGCTGGACACCCGGTGCTCCACCCGGACCACGTAGAGGGCTGGGCCCGAGGCCATGAGCAGCCGCGAGTCCCGGTGGCCCCAGCAGATGGAGATGATGGGGCGCTGCGGGGTGGGAGGAGAAATGCTCAGGAGTCTGTGCCTGAGACACGAGAAAATCACGTGTGCCGAAGCAAGCAAAATAGGAGAGCTTCTGGCTCCAGGAACGCTGGTTTCCAAAAGCCCTTTTCCCCTCCCACTCCCCGCAACAGGAACCTCCTTTCTCTGGGGGCCACGGAAGCTAACCCAGCTCTGGTGTCTCTGCAGGCAAGTTCCCTCAGTGCAGGCTACCGGCACCCGTGTTCCTTATCCTGACCCCCAAAGAAGCAGCAGGGGCTTGTGGTCTGGGCTGAGAGCAGGCAGCCACCCCCCACGGGCTGGAATCGGGGGCCACAAGTGGGGTGGCTGGAGCCCTGGTGTGAACCCTGGCGGTCTTCTCCGCTCTCATGAGGAAAACCAGAGCAGGGAGGGGTCAAGTCCTCAGTGAAGTCGAAGGAAGAGCACTGGTGTGACTCACTGCCATGAACAAAGTCACTGTCATTCACTGCGGTTCTGGGACAGAGATGGTGGCAGGGAGCAGGGGAACACAGGGCCTGTGCCAGCTTCTCTAATGGTCGCTACCCGTGCAAGCTACCCGGGGTGCCGTGACAGGGAGAAGGGAGAGAAGGGCAGGGCTGCTCCTTCCCCCCCGACAGGCGGGCGCTGACTTAGGGAGGGCTGAGGAGCTTCAGAGATCAGACGAGGTGGGCAGGGCTCATGAGACTGCCAGAAGCAGAGTTTCCCCAACACCTCAGTGACGGACATCAAGATCAAAGGACATGAGACATTCACTTCGAGTGGTCCCCAGGGTCACCTAAGCCTCGTTTCAACTTCAAGACAAAAAAGCAGAAGTGAAGAGAACTTCTCTCCCTCCATTTGCAGAGCGAGAACACAGGGTCCCGTGTTAGGGTACAGGGGCACCTCTTTGGGGGGGTCTGGAGATTCAGAGCACTTCCCAGAGAGAAGAAAGAGCATGTTCGAGATACAGTAAAGGGCTCGCCCTGCTGCGTAGGCCGGTATACAAGTTCCTTTTGGACTTGCAGCGAACTTAAAAATACACCTTGGCCCAAGGCCTCCTACGACGCTATTCTCAGCCCAGAGCTGAGGAGGGAGTTTCAGGGGGCACGAGAGCCTGAGAAAGAGGAGCTGATTCTCTCCTGCCGTCCCATTCCTCTGCAGCCCATCGCCCATGGTTCCAGTGCGTATATGTCCCCCACCTTGTCCCCATCCCTCCTTCTAGATCTGCTTTCCAAAGTGAGTCTCCTTAACACTGGGTACCAGTTTGGGGGGAAGATGTGAAGCTATCACTTGGTAGTCATGCATCTAATCTGTTACAAAGGGCCCCAAAACAGACACAGGCCCGCCAAGCTGGATGGGAATCTGATGCATCCTCACGTCTGTTCCTAAAAATCATCCTAAAAGTCATGTTTTAAGAATCCCCTGAGCTCCAGTAGTGCTGCAGCTGGTAGCACACATGGTCTCAGGGGCCCCATCTGCACTCCACACACCTGCAAACGCAGGCGGAGAGGCGGAGTAGGAGGTGACATGTGACAAGTGACCGCTGCTCATCTCCCACAGGGCGCTGCCTCTCTGAACATCAAGACAGTGACTGGCCACCTGGGGAGCACGGGTGTCCCATCAAACACTATCTGCCGGCCTGTCACAAAGAGAAATAGCGCATACAATGCTCCCTCTCAGCTTTCTCCTCAGCCCACTCCTCAGCCACAAACAGAAGCCCTGAGCACAGCACATGGAGAAAGCCCGAGGCAACACCTGGGGACGCTCAGGGGTGACTCCTGCCTCTGCGCTCAGGAATTACTCTTGGCAGTGCTTGGGGGACCATATGGGATGCTGGGGATTGAACCCGGGTTGGCCGTGTGCACGACAGGCGCCCTCCCTGCAGTGCTATGGCTCTGGCCCGCCAGTTCCCAAGAGCAGAGGGCTAGCACTCCCAGGCGGTCCCACACCAAGGAGGCCTAAAAGGACCCGGAAGACTAGAGGGCCGAGAGCAGGGAGCCTGGAGAAGTGCAGAGGCCTGCGGGGTGTCCAGAAACCCTCGGGAAAGGCCCTCTTTCAGAAACCCCACGTCTCCCTGCAGCTCACTGGTGAGCAGCACTCACCAACCTCATGGAGCTGGTGACCGCTACTCCGGCAGGTGACCTGCTATTCCACACTCGCTTCTTTCTTTCTTTTTCCCCTTTTGTTTTGGAGCCACACCAGGCCGTGCACAGAGGCCACTCCTGGCCAGCTCAGGCAACCAGAGCGGTGCCGGGAACTGAACCCTGCAATGCGCAAGGCAAGGGTCTTGCCAGCCCCACATTTATTTCACTTTTATAGCACATACTCCAGAAAAGATAAAGCAGCCAACTCATACGGGCGCCTCGGAATTACTACTGTTTCAGGTTGTACTGGAAAAATCGGGGCGGATTTCGCAATAGTGAGCACTGCTTCTCTCACTGAGAGCAGGGAAATTAATTACTGTAATTACTGCTTGAGTTCAAGGTGGGCCGAACGTTGCCCTCAGTGTCCTGACAAGCCCCAGCGGTCTGCAGGAAGCGCTTTGATGTGGGATTTGACTCTCCGCTAGGGCACAAGAGTCAGCAGTCTGGCTTAGCCACCTGAAACGCTCCTGGAAGAACAGAGGGTAGGTAAGCGTTGGGACCACAAAAAAGAAAAGGTCATTATGTGAAGCGATGCAGGTGCGGTAAGTGTACTGCACCAAATACACCAAATCCAGGGGGTGTAACTCGACAGTCCGCACAATGCCCTATGGTCGCCTACATTTCGACAGAACGAGAGAGAAATTCACACACAAAAATCCTCTCTCATGTCCCTTCATCCTGGTCTTCCCACCCTTTTTGGTTTGGTTTTGTTTTGGGACCACACCCAGCCGTGCTTAGGACCTACTCCTGGTGGGGCTCAGAGGACCAGGTCAGGAACTGGACCTGGGCCAGCAGCGTACAAGGCAAGCCCCCAACCTGCTATCACTCCGGTCCTTCCTACTTTTATACAGGCTCATTTCTGTCACTCTTTCCCCCCACAGCCTCTGTTCCAAGTGGCCTCTCATTCCTCAGGCTCACGGTCAACACTGCCTGTGCTCCTGGGAGCTGCAGAGGAGGACGCACGTGTACAATAACCCCAGGAGCACAGCAGCTGCACAGATGAACGCTTCTGTCCAAGCAGCTGCTGTCTGCGCAGGACAAGCCCAGCTGTAAATCCCTGGACTTAATCTCTTCTCAAATCACACAGGCTCTATTTTTAGAAGGCGGGCTGCCACTGTGAAGTCAATCAGCGTTCTAATCTTCATTTGCGTAGGGACGGTCACATATGTCTCCATCTGAATCTGAGGCAAACCGGCAAGCAGAGAGTCCACTTCGGGAAGTGTCAGTGGGCCAAAGGAAAGCTCCGGAGGTTTGTCCATCAGCAGACAAGCCCGGGAAGAACTTTCCTTGGAGACTGACAGCCAAAACACAGCAAGGGCCCCTCCAGGCTGTGAGCCGCAACCCTGAGGGCCCCGGGTTTCTGGGACTAACGGGTTTCCCTTCAAGAGCACAGTCAATGACCATACCACAATCTCCTACTTGATTTTTAAATGTTCACACCCATCCTCTTCCTTTTACTCCTCTCAATCTTTTACCCCAAAGTCTCACTCTAACACCGGAACCACAGACTCTATGCTGTCTTCTCCAACTTGCCCTTGTTACAAAAAAGCTCATGAGTCTAAAACAGTCACAAACACCACCAAAGCCCAGACCAAAAGTACCAAAGCCTGCAAATTGCAGTCAGAGGCATTAACTAACAATCTGCTGTCAGAGGATCAGCTACTTGATTATAGTTGGACAGCCAAAGATAATGGTTAATGAGATAAACCACGGGACTTGAAATTATATGGGAAGGGAAACACGCAGTATACTTCTTTCAAAGCGGTTCAGCTGCAGACACTGCTCTCATACATAAATCAGGAGAATCAACTTAAAGCTGAGGCTGCTGCAAGTTGAGCGCTGGGCAATGGCCTGCATGCAAGAGCCGGCAATCTAATTAACTTGGAAATAAATTATCCAATCTAAACTGCATTTAGTTCTTTTTATAAACAGTCCAATCAATTGCCTAACTTCCTTCCTGCTATAAAAATTTTCTCCGCCCGTGGCCTCTTTGACTAGCATAGCACAGATAACATGCTTTTAGAATCATTAGATAAGAATGGTGCTACATATAATATTTTGCTTGATTTTTAACAGCATTATTATTTTTTTAAACTTTGTGTTACAGAGGCACTGTTTCAAGTGGTTGAAACAAACCCTCATATGGAAAAGGAGTCAACGACTTATGGAAATGTGGGGATGCTGGAGGGCTATTTTTCTCCAAAGAGAATTCAGACCCAAGCTCTGCAAGGGGAGAGAGCTGAGGAGAAAGCCACACTGGCGAGGCTGAGAGCTTCCACTCCATTAGACACAGATGAGGAAGCAAGAAAGCATGGGCTCTGCTGTGCGAGAGGAGACAGGCAAACCGAGAAGGAAGCAGTGCAGCGTCCAGCACCGAGGGTCAGAGAGAGGAGGCTGCAGCTGGGGGCAGGTTCCGGAAAGACAGGGCAGAGCTGGCACTGAGGACTGATTCCCTCAGGCTGAGGTGGCGGGGAGGGACGTGCCACAGACAGAGCAGTGTACCAAAGAGAGGACAATGCTGAGTGACACGAGGACTCTGCTTCGATTCTCACATATTTTGACAACAAAAGTCTTCCCAACACCAAGATGGCCATTCCTGTCCTTGCACTTGTCTTTCCGTTTGTTGGGTTAGAGCTGGCATGTGGCCACAGTGAGAAGGGCACAGGGCCTGAAAGCCCATCAACCTGCTGAACGAAGGAGGCTGGGCTCCTACCGCGCTCTGGGCAAACTGGCAGGCAGAATGGCCGTGGTGTCACACGGGCCACCCTCCTTCAGATCCCACTCCCGGGGGAACCCGAGATCTATGTTCATTTGCTACACACCTTGGTCTTAAGCTGACACTGACGGCATCAGCTGTACTCAACTTCAGCTTTCCCCGAGGCTCAGCCACTCGGCTTCGACCACTTCCTTCTATTCAAAGTGGGAATCTGGACCAGAGAGCTGATGGGGGAAGGTGCCTGCCTTGCCTGAGGCCGATCCTGGTTCAATCCCTGGCACTGCCCCAGAGCACACGGAGCATGGCTGGTCACTTCCCAGGCCCAGGGCATTAGTCATCCGCACACCCAGCTTATGATCCCTCACTTCTAGGATGTCTTGACTAGTTTATTAAGTTTCTCCCGTTTTGTGACTTTACTACAAAACCTTTGCACTTCCTCCTCAGCTGGGGCAAACTGTACTATGCCTGCCTTCACGGACTGCCTTCACGGACAGCAAGACTTTCAACTCACAAGCACGGAGCCAGCTTCAGTGGAGAATTCCTTTCAGCCTGTCACATCCCTATAACCAGCACACGGCTCAATTCTCAGTTTTTGGGCCACACTTGGTGGTGCTCGGGAATGACTCCTGACTCTGCACTCAGGAATCACTCCTGGTGTGATCATATATGATGCTGGGATTGAACCCGGGTCAGACACATGCAAGGCAAATGATGCTCTGCCCACTGGAGCTCAGTTCTGTCTGCACAGTCCTCCCACAGAGCAGGGTGTTTGAAAAGGAGCAAAACAAGCTCACTTGTCCTAGAACTAATATGTTCACGTAAAAAGATGCATTAAATCCCATAGCTGAACACCAAAGGAAAAGAAATAGGTATGAGTTCTTAAATAGGTGTTTCTCCAAAGGACACTACAAACGGTTCATAAAACTACGAAGGAATGCTCACATTACTCAGCCACAGGGAAACCAGGGGGAGAGATGCCTCCCCCTCCCCCCACCTCAGCAAGAGGGCTGCCATCGAACACAGCAAGGTATGTGCCCCGTCCCGGGTGACAGGCTCAGGACCAGGCGCGCTGGGGAGGAGAAACAGTGCAGCAGCCCTGGGCAACAGCATGGCACTTCCTCAAGGGCAGGTGCAGCAACACTGCGTGCGTGTATCCCCCCTGGGAAGACACACAGAGGCAGAGGAAGGGGCTGTGAGTGTGACACTCACACTCAGTGCCTGTCAGGCACAGACACCAAAAGGCGAAAGCAACCCAAGTGACCACAGGTAAGGAGGGCACGGGGGTGTAGGAGCTTTGGAAAGGAAGGGCAATATGAAGCCCACGACAGTAAAGGAACCCGGAGGAGAAGTACAGGCGCAAAGAAGCTAGAGGGCACGTCCAGGGGCTGGCGGAAGTTGGTAAGTGGGTGCAGAGCTCCATTTCTGAAGGTGAAAAGTGCTGGAGATGAGTTACACAACAACGAACATGTGTAACACTACTGAATCGTACACTTTAATGGGTTGTGTGTGTGTGCATGTGGGGGTGGCCTGGAGTAATTGTACAGGCATGAGGCTGACCCAGGTTTGATCGTTGGCACCCCACACAGTCCCTCAAGCCTCACCAGGAGGGATCCCCGAGCACAGAGCCAGGAGTAAGCCCTGAGCACCACCAGGTGCGGCCCCATACTTTTAAATCACAATGAAAAAAATAACCAAAACCGATGGTTAAGATGGCATGTTTAGCAAATCAAAAAGGGACATTTAATCAACATCCACGTCCCCATGCAGCCTTCCCCCCACTGCTCCCCTCGCCTCTCTAGTGAGCTGGTCAGCGGGAGCTGTTTGCTGCCATGCCAACTGCCGGCTGATTCCCGGCCTGCCTTCTCCGGTCGCTCCGAGTCCTCTCTCCCCGATGGACTCACACCAGATACAGACTGGTTCAGAGAGACTTCGAGATAAAAGCCTGCAGGAAGGCGCCAATTGTGCCCATCTCACTCCTGGCAGTTTTTTAAACATACTGTTGAACAATAACTCGGCTGAAGCATCAAACTTCATGACTGGCATGCACGGTCAGCATGGAGCATGAATAAGCAAAGGCTCTGTAGCCTTCTGTTTTCTACCTGGAGCTGCTGGGCACCAGCTCCCTCCACTCGCGGAGGAATCATTCTGGTTACACGGCAGAGTCCCGCATACTTACAGCTCCTGGTTGATGCCCCATGCTTCAGAGAAGATCAGCAAATGAGCACTACCTGGCAAAGCTAGCGAGTGTGGGCATGAGCTCCCCCCCGTCTGCCAACGGAAACTGGACACACTAACACAGAGACGGTTTACACACACCCTTACTTGAACGAGCGTGTCCAGAGTGAAGATGTGCTCCCCGCGGACATTGTAGAACTTGACCATGGCGCTCTTCAGGAGAGGGCCGTTGGGAAGGTCGCCCAGCTGGGTTTGCTTCTCCATGCCAGCAACTGCCAGGAGGTCCCCTTGTGTGCACCACTGGGCCACTACCTCTGAAATCACAAAGAAGAAACGATGAGCACAAGGGCCCCCCCAGAGATGCTGCACAAAGCTATTGGGGCTCCTCCTCATGTCCCGTGAAGACGGCAATGAGCCACTTCTCCAAAGAAGATATTCTCTACTGGAAAGAGGGGTTTCCACTAGCGACGGGCACTGCGGCGCCCCTGCAAGCATCCAGAGCAGTGGGAAGGTCAGCCGACAGAGCGGGGTGCCAACGCCTGATACGCAGAGCCCGCACAGCACTTCCAGAGCCCCGCGACAACAGGCAGAACAGCAAAGCCCACGACTCTCCATCCCAAGTTCCTCTGCAGGAACACGGACCCCACCCCATCCAGGTGAACCAAAGAGCTTATAAATGTTAAGAGGAAAACACCAACTGAGCACGGCCCCGGAGTACATTCATGTGATTTCGTGCATGGCAGGCAGGGCTCCGAACAAGGTCCGATCTCACAACAAGGTCAGACCAGAAGGCCCTCATTCTTATCCAGCTTGCTATGACGTCCTTGGGGCGAGAGGAGCACTTTTGTTGGGTGGCCATGCTGTCAGAGGAGGGTTCCCGCGGAGACATGAGGCCACTCAGACCCAGAAGCTGCAGCAAGAGAATGGGGGTCCCGCGCCACAGCGAACAATGCACTCGCCTCTTGCGGGTTACACAAGCTGTGAGTACTAAGAGGACTCAGAGATTCCTGCCAAGACGGTACAACAGCATCTCTCTGATCAGAAAGCCCTGAAACCCGGACTCCACCCGCCTGCCAGAGGCTGCCCGGCCTGGAAGTGCTCGGTCACAACAGGCTGCATTTCTGTGATGCAGACGGGAGGCCCACACCCAACGTGCAGAGGAAGCCTCAGAGAACAATACGGCTTCCTGTTCTGCCCCCTGCTCACAGGGCATTCAGGAGTGGCGCACGCACAAGGTTCCCGACGACCCCACGACAGTTGCACGGTAAGAGGAACAGCAATGAATTCCAGCGTGGGACGCGGGAAGAAGAGCCGAGTGCTTGAGCAGCATTTTCTTCAGGGACCGTTATTTCCTTTGACGCTGACTTAAGGAACGCACAGAAGAGACCAAACCCCGCCGACCTAAAGGACAGGCCACTGCTCCAGGTGCTTCCTTCAAAGCCACGTTTCCGAGCAGCTGTGTGCTGAGCGAGGCCCCCAGTGTACGGGGCTTCACCGGGACGAGGCCTCACAATGCAAGGCCTGACATGGGCAGGGTAGAAGTTCTGGCCCAGGAATTCTGGCTGCGAGGCCACCTCCTCTTAGGGAACAATCCTAAATAGCTCTGCCCAATACTTTATATTTATTTATTTTTCAAATTTTATTGAATCACCGTGAGATAGTTACAAGCTTTCATGTTTGGGTTCCAATCACACAATGATCAAACACCCATCCCTCCACCAGCGCACATTCCCCACCACCAATATCCCCGGTATACTCCCCCTTTCCCACCCTCCCCCTGCCTCCATGGCAGACAATAGTCCCCATACTCTCTCTCTACTTTTGCTGTTCAATACTTTAGTAACAGTTTCTTTTATTCGTTAGAATCTCTGAAACAAAAATCCTGGTTGGGGAACTTGCTACTTGGCCATATGCCAGGCCTTAACCACTGGACTATCTCTAGGACTATTTCTGTGATTTTTACATAAAATACAACAAGGAATAGGGGCCAGAGAGATGTACATGTGTAAGACTCTTGCCTTGCAAGCAGCTGTCCCAGGTTTAGTCCATTGTACCGTATTGTTTCCTGTGTACCCCTCAGCACAGAGCCAGGAGTAAGTCAGTGTGGCCCAATAAAAACATCCAAAGAACCCTCCAAATCAGAAATCGCCTCTTTCCACATTTCCCGATGCTCTTCACACGGTGATCAGGAGCCTCGAAAGGAGAAATGGAGAGTTCTAGAGCACAACCAAGAGGCCCATGCTCCTGAGTACAGCTCTTTCTGGATGATTCTGAGGCATGTGTGAAGTCTTACTCATTTCACAAAAAGTCAGTCTCAGCAGAACAATGCTACCTTTACAGTCAGGAAAGATGTAGGGATTTTTTTTTGGGGGGAAAGCCTGGAGAGTTCTGCTTTTACAGGGAGTCTGAATGAGCCAACATGGTTCTTCCGTGTCAATAAGAGCCCTGTGTGGTATCAGAGCTGGTTACAAAGAGGCACACACGTGTGAGTGGAGAAGGAACAGCAAGAACCTGGCCAAGCACCCAAACCCCAGGAAGTCTGAGGCTCACCCAGGTCTCACGGGGGAAGATGGGAAGGGTGGGAAGGGAAAGCTGTAATGGCCAGTGGGCTTCTCGTCAGAAGTGGGAAGACAGAGGAAGTGAGAGAGGCGGCGAGGGAGACAGGGACAAACAGAAGCAGCAAAGCGTGTGACGGTACAATTGTTTTTCTCTTAAACAACAATGCTTTTGGTGACCAGAATAAAGGCCCCAATGCCTAAGCACATACTCAATGAGGGAGAACAACTAAGCCTGCCACCCTTCCTCAGGAGCGTCCACCGAACCCGTCACCCTCCCTCAGGAGTCCACTGGAGAGAACCACCGAGCCCGCCACCCACCCCAGAAGAGTCCACTGAGCACGACCCCCGTCCTCAGGAGTCCCCTGCTCAGTGTGCTCGTGAAATGGCAAAAGGGAAATCCCGTAAAATTCTGTAAAAACAAGAAATAAAACCCAGGGGCTGGCTTTTTCAGTGCGGAGTTAAAGGAGAAGTGAACACGAGCGCCTGCTTTGCTCCCAGAGGACTCTGGGGTTTGGGGGCTTGGCAGGAATTCCTTGCCCTGCCGAGCAGCGAAGGTGCCTCTTAGGCCTTGGGTCTCCATGAGCTGAGGGCAGACACAGAGGCTCCCTCTGCCTGCACTGACCTGTGAGCCGGCGGCCCTTCTTGAAGGCGCTCTATATGGGACAACAGCCACTGTCACCGGAGGAGGCCCTTCTAGGCCTGTGTCCAGGGAAAGGACATGGGTATGGTCACATCATAACCTTGAGTAGTCTGGGTGTTTTCGAGTCCCTCACAATCTGCTGCCCTGGAAACCTCGAGACTTGTTCCTTGCTTTGTCCCTTCTCTGAAGCACTTTGTTCTTCTGAGCAGACACTATACAATATGCCAGGCTTAACGCAACCCTTTGGGCTGCTCCTCGAGTGCCCCAACAGGGCAGCACCACACACACGCCAAGAAACTTCTGCTTTCCTCTCCTCAGTGTGCTCTGAAGTCTTCCAGGGTGCTGTCAGTAAAACCCAAGAGAAAGTGATAAAAGGAAGTCCCTGAAGCTAGACTTCTCCTCTGCTGACTTTTGTGCAAGGTAGAACTTCCTCAGCAAAGCCCCCTCAATGGAGGGGATGGGTAGCGGGACAGAAGGCCCGGGCCACCAGAGCAACAGGACATAGATTATGACAGAAATGATGTTTCCTGTGAGTCACCTAATTGCTCCAGAAAAGGGGAGGGAGAGAGGAAGAGAAAGAGGGAGAGAGGGAGAGAGGGACGGAGAGGGAGAAAGAGAGAGAGAGAGAGAGAGAGAGAGAGAGAGAGAGAGAGAGAGAGAGAGAGAGAGAGAAAGAGTGTCTATTATAGAGGCAGGCCAGGGATGGGATTGGGGGTGATGGGAGGGAAACTGGGGACACTGGTGCTGGGGGATGTACACAGGTGGAGGGATGGGTGTTAGTACATTGTATGACTGAAACCTAATCACGAACACCATTGTAAGGGTCTATCTCACAGCGATTCAATAAAAACCCAAATAAAACCAGTAGTGGGGAAGAAATGACTGCTTGTCACACCAGGGGAAAGACCGACTCTTTCAAACCCTGGAGTTTAGACAGCACAGAAACACCTGCCAGCAGTAGGTCCTGCATGATACCAGTTCACCTCAATTGTGGCCCTTCTAGAAATGTGGAAGATGGAGCCCAGCACCTCCTTGCCGAAGGCCACCCAAAGCACCGTAACAGAGTTTTCCATCTCTCCTCAGGCTATGAACAGCTGAACTGTCTGTTCTTCAGGGCTCAGACTCCAGTTGACAAGCCTTCACTTCTGGGGGTGCTACCGTGGGCCCCTGCTACACATGGTCCCTCATGTGTCCCATGCTCTGTTCCAGGAGCTGCTCCCATGCAACCCCTGCTTGCCAGAGGCAAACGAAAACAGCCCAGGATGCCTTTATTGTTTGGAAAAAGGCTTCCAGCAGCAAATGGAAAAATTTACCTACAAAAAACAAGGGAGAACTGAGCAATGGCATTATTTTCAGTCCTGATCAGATATTTGCTAGAGAAAAAATTGGGGACTATAAGGAGGGAGAGAAAGCTTCTGGTGAAATTAACATACTTGGGTTTAGAGTTTTGACAAAGAAATTTTTAAGAAAAACAGTAGAGCTTGAATTACTGAACACTCTACAGGAGAATTTCTTATGGTTTTTGGGCCATACCCACCAATGCTCAGGGATTGCTCCTGGCTCTGCACTCAGGAATTACCCCTGGTGGTGCTTGGGGCACCATATAGGATGCCAGCGATTGAACCCGGGTTGGCCACGGGTGGCCGCGTGCAAGGCAAACGCCCTACCCGCTGTGCTATCGTTCCGGCTCCCTTATGGCTATTTTATTCTGTAAAAGATAGAAAATCCAGAAAAGAACTTTCAAAAAACCCAGAGATTTAAATTCCGCATCATCACAAAAACATACTTACTCAGCTCCTAACAGGGCTGTTTTTTGAGATAAAGGACTAAAACAGATTTCATATCCCTTAGGAGTTGAGGCCAAATAATTCCTTACCATCTGAGTTTTGATTAACAAAATGGAGTATAACAACCTTCTAAAAATAATCAAGCGTTTAAAAACAGACTGAGTACGTGCTGGGAGAGGGCTGGGGGTGGGCTGGGGTGGGATCAGGACCTCACAGGTACGGTCCCCTCCAGTAGAGCAGCGCAGGCTCTCGGCGCGAGTTGTGCTATGCCTGTAATTCACAGTTGTGCGTGGCCAGGCCTTGGGACTGAGGGTCAGTTAGTTCTGAAGGACAGGAACAAGATGATAGAAGGTTCTGGTTCCCCTCTCCTGCCCATTGAGAGAAATGTCTGCATTAGGCCTGAAGCCTGTAGACGAAGAACTGTTTTCCCCAGGAGCCCCTTGGGCCACAACACCGGACAGACTTTGCTTTAGGAGTGGGGAGCACTCACTGTGTTTGGGGGAAGGGGGGACCAACAGATGCCAAGGAGACAACCCAGGACCTCAACACGCAGGTCAGGTGCCTCTCAGGGCTAATAGCATCTCAGACAGTCTGTCAGGAAGGCAGCAGATTTGGCCGCTGACCTTCACCTTGACAGCCCAGTCAAGTGACCGTGGAACGCCCACCAGTCTGTCAAGGTGGCTTTACCACACAGCAGTTCTTAGAAGCATCCAGCGGCTGCTGTCTCCGCTGCTGTGTGGGCCTGCGAGAGGCCCATTCCTGTCCCAGTGGGAAGGAGCAGGAAAAGACTCTCCCCAGGGGAAGGCAAGGTGGAGACCGGTGAGCTCAGCACAGCAACAGAATGGCCTTCCCCAGCAGACTCAGCAGGCCCGGAAGTGTCCGCAAGAAGACAGCCAGTCCCCGCCCTGGAAGCAGCCCTGCGGGGCTCCATACCTTTCAGCCCTGAGCGGATGACGGTAGGAGACAAGTCGTCGTAGTTACTCATTAAACTGATGTCTCCTGAGGTGAAGCTGACAGTGAGCAGCGGCTTGATGTTCTGCACCGGGATGGGATACGCTGCCGGACCATCTGCAGGAAGAAAAGCGCCGAGTGAGAATGAGCCCCACGCACACAGCCAAACCCAAGGCCACAATCTTGCAGCGTCAGAGAAATTCCGAGGGGCTGGGGAGAGAACCCAAGGGCTGTATCATGCTGAGCTTGCATGCAGGGAGCAGCCCGCGGGCAGCGCTGAGGGCAGCCCCAACCACACACCCCCCACACCCTAAATTCCCTGACAATGCCAACCAGACTCTGAGTGGGCAAAACAAGAACACTATATCCCAGTTTCCTAATCTGCGGGGTCTGACTCTACATGGGGACACGTAGCTGAATGTAGGGATCTTAAAAGTAAAAGTAAAGGCCCTCCCGTTGATCGTCGATTTGCTCGAGCGGGCCCAGTAACGTCTCCATTGGAGACTTTGTTGTTACTGTGTCTGGCATATCGAATACTCTCGGTAGCTTGCCGGGCTCTCCGAGAGGGATCTTAAAAAAAACTAAAAAATTTCTTGAAAAAATGTTTTGTTTGTTTTGAGCCACACCAGGTGGTACTCAGGGATTACTCTTGGCTCTGCGATCAAGGGTCACTCTTGGTGGGGCTTCAGAGACCCTCTGGGGCACCAGGGATCAAGCCTGGGTTGGCTGCATGCAAGGCAAGTGTCCTACCTGCTGTAGTATAAATTATAATTTATTAAGTAAATGTTTTACTTGTATGATGACTCCATATACAATATACCCAAAGCCATAGAAAATTTCTTGGGCAGAAATAGCTCATGGAGGACAGAGTTGAAGTAGCCTGGCCTGACAGCCTCAGAAGCTGCCAGCTCATGGTGGAAAGGGGAGCAGAAGCAGGACAGACGGCTCGGGGGGCAAGAGCTGGGCGCCCAGGCTCTGCTGCAGCTGGACAGGTCATGCGAAGAGTTGACATGCATGCAGGGCGATATGTTATATGTTTCTGATACTGCACACAAGTAAGTCAGTCTAGTGTATTTCTAGTGTGTGAGGATAGTGGAAAGGGGGATGAAAATGCTTTATTAATCCTGGTCCTCCATAAAGAGAAAATTGTTCTCAGTGAATGTTCCAGAAGTGAATACCCACAGCCAAATGCTTTCCACCCCCACTGGCTTTTGGAGAAGGTTCGAGTGTAAGAGGCCCTGGGCTGGAGACAAGCTCGGAGTCTATGTGGCTCATGAAGCAACTCTGCTTGTCACCGGCAGTGTGGCAGAAAGAATCAAGCTCTGGGAGTTTCCTTGGTCATTCTTCCAGGAGATCCCATCAGATATTATGGAAGAGCCATGATGGGTGATGTTCTAGATTCTTCCCCAGGATTCAAACAGCAGGAAGTCATTCTTGACCCAAGTTGCGGTGAATCAGGGTACTCTGTCAGGGCTCCTGGGGCCGTTTCCCACACATGCCGAGCTCATCTCTGGCAGCCAGCTGGGTGGGCCTGCCCAACACTGGCCGAAGACCCCGAGTCAGCCTGCCACAGACCCTAGGTGCAGGCTCTTCGCTGTCGCTCTCTGTGCTCCAATTTCCCAGGACACCAATGAAATCTTTGCTGCCTTTGCAGTACATGGGGGCTCACTGGGGATGTGCTCGGTAACTTGGTCTCTGGATCGCAGGCTGCTCTTTGCGACAGAGGGGGGCCAAGTTCAACTAAGTTCTGCTTTAAGAGTATGCTGAGCCTTCTAATAACCTAAGATGCTGCTGTCACTCCTCAGCTGGAGAAATGATCTGGGCCTTGCTCAGAAAGGTCCTCAATGGACCCAGAGTCCCTAAAGGCAACCAGAAATGGCCCCAAATGAACTCTGGGGTGTCAGGCCCAACTGCCCAGAAACATGTTCATTGTCTGCTCTAAAGCTCCAGAGCGTACAGTATAATAAATAATTATTCGAGTACATGACCCCAGGAGTAAATGGCAGCACAGAACTCACAGGTAGGAGGCCCTGCCTTGATCCCTGTGTCCCTCCCCAGTCCAAAACAAAATAAAAACTAAACACACACCCCCACATCACCCACTAGCACGTCTGAGACAGCAGGAGAAAGCAGAACAGAGTATCTCTAAGTCCGATGGGTGGGGGTGGGGTGACTGTGACAGGCAGGGCAATGGGAATTTGCTGGCACGCGGCACAGCCCAATTCCATCCCTGACACCACACGTTCTCCCCGAGCACAGCTGGGAGTGATCCCTGGCTGCAGCGATAAGAGGAAGCCCTGAGCTCTGCCAGCTGTGCCCCCCACCCCCAGACCCCCGCAAAAAAGTCCCGCTGGGAAGAGCATTCTCAATCTTGCTCCCGGATGAGTCCTCTAGGAAAGGGTGAAAGGACCCAGTATGAGCCTGGCCGTGCAGGCCAAGGGCAGGTGTCCCGTGCAGTGTGGTCACTGGACATCTCTCTCGCTCCTTCAGGTGTCGTGTCTGTCTGAAGAAAGAGGCAGGTGCAGGGATGGGCTGTGGGAGGCACCAAAGCCCGGAGCAGGCCAGACAAACACTGACACGGGCAAGGACCAGCATCAACATTTCTTTCCTGCAGGGCTGAAGGAGGCTGGCATGTTCAACCGTCCCCGCCAAGTCTGACACAACCCTTTATTCCAGGGTAACTTGGGTGTCCGCTAATCCCGGTCTATCTAACCTCTCTGGGAGGCTCATAGCTTCTGCCCTGAGGAAAAGAGCCTCTGGCCGAACAACTCAGGAGCCAGGAAGTGGTGGTGAGCCCTGCAGTTGCCCGTCCCCTTGAGCGCCATCCTCCCTGGCATACTCAGGGACCTGGATGGCCACACATTAAGTGACAGTAACAGCCCCGCATTTTCCATCTTCAGTTCTCCTCTCATTAAGCAGCTAAGCCCCACAATACCACCACAGGGATCCAGAAAGGCTCAGAGTCTCTTCAGAGCCTGGAAAAGCTCAGCCAGTGAGAGCAGAGCACAGCGAGGGTGGCCGGACCCAGGCGGAGAGCAAGAGCCCGGGGCACGCTACCTTGCGGGGGCGAGTAGTCGTCAGAGTCGGTGTCGCTCTCGCTGCTGTCCTCCACCAGGAAGGCGGGGTAGTTCCAGGACATGCTGAGGATGCCGTCGGACTCGTGCAGCAGCACATGGGCCAGCATCCTGCCGTGGCAGTCCATGACGATCACCTGGCCGTCCGCCGTGCCGAACAGCACCTGCAACCAAGGAGCAAAGGCGGGGTTCGGGCCACGTGAACTTGCCATCACATGGTATAGGAAGCCCGAATCCACTGGGAATGAGGACACTTGAAGCAGTTAACTGACAGCAACACAAAGCATCACGTGTGCCACTGAGCCACACAGACAAGTTATCAGTTCTCTGAATAAGAAAATAGCACAGTAAAGCATTTGTTCTACTAGATAGGCACTTCTGACTGGCAAAAAAAAAAATCACAATCAAATTTTGGAATTTTGGGATTATTTCCTGCCTTTAATTTTTGGTTGGAAGGGGAGGTGTCAAGAAAAGGCAGAGGGCCATTATTAGGGACTACTCAAATTTATAGGACTAGGAATGTAGTTTGGAATTTGAGCAAATTTGTGAGATCCTGGGTTCAATTCCACATCCACAAATAAAAAAATCATTTCTCAAGTGTAGAAGAAACAGGATGAGAACAGTGCAGTCTTCTGCCCCCGCGCCTGGGTGTTCCTTCCCGGAGCCCCTTGGAGGGGAGCGGGTTGAGCTCCGGCAGCCGAAGACCTCCAGGACCAGCCACCACCATGCTGAGACCACTCTCCGCACACATGAAGGTACTGGCAGAGGGACAAAGCCATGCGGGTTCCGGGGCCGAGACCTCCAAGCCTACTCGAATTGGGAGTCGAGCATCTTCCACCCAGATCCTCCAAATTCCAGTAGGCGGGGGTCACACCCACCACCTGGCCCCCTGGTGCCGTGTAATCCCATCAGCGGCCAAGACTCAGAGACTATAATATCCAGATCCAGGAACCGCGCGGCCGCATTTGCGGCCGCGCAACATCTTATCAGAACTTTTTTTATGACATCTTATTGTCTTATTCCTACTTTGGACAAACTTGCAGGCTATCGAATGTAGCCTGCCTGCAGGGCAGAGTCTGGCAAACTCCCCGTGGCGTACCAAATATGCCAAATACCAGTAACAATGATGGGTCTCATTCTCCTAAATAGCCTTGAATATAATCTCAGGGCTAGGATGAAAGAGACGTTACTGGGGCCTGCTCGAGGCAATCGATGAATAACAGGATGATGAAATGAAATGAGAAGAAACACTGGTGTGTATGTCTGACCAAAACCATTTGGTTATGCATGGCACTATCAAAACGTATTTTAAAGAGAGGCTTCTGAGGTGGTTTGTTATTACATAGTGAATAAGCACAGAAACGGCCAATAATCAAAGCGGTCGGTCCCACACTAGTGACATGCATCCGCTCATGGAGTGCATTGTACATGCTAGTCCTGTCCTTAAAGCTTTACCTCTCTGCCAAAATTATCTGGTCTCAGTACTCGGCTGTGCTGGCAGAAGACTTCGGCGCTTCCTGAGCAAATCAGGGCCCACACTTTAGTTTAGGCCACACCAAAACCAGTGAGGCGGAGGAAGGCTGGGTGTGGGCAAACCCTCCCTTGAGCAGAACGAAGCCGCCCTGGTAGCAGTGTTTCCAGCAGGAACCCTGGGGCCCAGGAAGCAGGTACTTTGTATCTTCTGCTCAGCTACTGACACCTGTGACGAGCCTGTGACGAGCCGCCCAGGTTCTGAAGCACACAACAAAAGCCGCATTGACAGAGCCCCGCAGAAACGGCCATGCCAAGGCCACCTGGCTACCAAGACTAGAATTTCCACAAAGGAAAGGTTATTGGAGGTCCCGAAGGTTCTTGCCTCCTTCCACTTTTTATGATTTTGGCACCTACAAGAGCTTCGGGCACACAGGGGGATTATGAATATTTAATGCTCAATGAACACATTAAAGTCGGTGATAACCGAAAAGCAATTTTAGGACATGAATGCTGATGATTAAGGTAGATTAATTGTGAGGTAAAACACAGTTCACTTCGTTGGTTCAGTAATAGGCACTGAACTTACTAAGCTGTCTTAGAATAATTAATTTCTCATTAAATATCCCTCTGAACATCATCTAGATTTCAATTATTAAAAACTGAAATAAATAAAATGAAAAAAAAATTTTTGGTTTTGTGGGTCACACCTGGCGATGCGCAGGGGTTCCTCCTGGCTCTGCACTCAGGAATTACCCCTGGCAGTGCTCAGGGGGCCATATAGGATGCTGGGAATCGAACCCGGGTTGGCCGCGTGCAAGGCAAACGCCTTACCCGCTGTGCTATTGCTCCAGCCACAGTAAAATAAAATTTTAAAGGCAAAAAATGTCTTTTTGTGCAGACATGAATTCTCCGTGCACCCGGCCTAGAGAGAGGCAAAGCGCGTGGAACTCTGAGAAGCACAGTACAAACTGCGCCGTGGGCAGGGACCATACGTGTCCACGGGCAATGGGCAGGGACAGTGGAAGAGTGGGGCCCAGCTGCTCACCTCTCGGCTGAGGCTGAGCGAACTCGCTTGACCAACAGTTTTCAATGACATGCAGAATGTCACTTCTTACACTCTTAGCTGAAATGCTCTTTCTCTGGACGCATTTCAGAAGCAAAGCCTGGAGAGAGCCCCGCCCGCTCCGGGAGTTCTCCCTCCTGGACCTTCCGTCTTCTCGGGACTTACTCCTGGCTCTGTGATCAAAGATCATGGGGTGTTGGAAACTGAATGCAGGCGGGCCACATGCAAGGCAAGCACCTTCCCCGCTGTGCTATTGTGCCAAGGCCCCCAAAGTTCCTCAACTACGAGCTCTTTTCATGCTAATTACTTCCAACAAGATAAAGCTTACGTGAGCAGGGCTTCAAGAAAAAAGAATAAAATTATAGCAGCTAGGGGGTTTGCCTTGCATGTGGCCAACCTGGTTCGATTCCTCTGCCCCTCTTGGAGAGCTACCGAGAGTATCTCGCCCGCTTGGCAAAGCCTGGCAAGCTCCCCGTGATGCATTCGAAAAGCCAAAAACAGTAACAAGAAGTCCCCCAATTTGTTGTGAGACATTACTGGTGCCCGCTCGAGCAAATCGATGAACAACTGGAGGACAGTGCTACAGTGCTATATACTCTTAAAAATACGCAATGTAAAATAATTCTGTAACATGCTATAGACTGTCATCTGCAAATAATAACTAAGAATAAAGAAAGGTCGACTAGTCTGCGAAGTGAAGGGTGAGATGCATCCAGCAGGGGCACCCTCCTGGTCAAGCCTTCAGTGTGCCCTCAGCAGAGCTGGCCCCTCTGCAGGGTCATGCATGGACTCACGAACTTCACTACTGCCCGGCTCTCCTCAACCCCCAGATGCCCAGACCCAACTGCCTATGGGCCATCAATCCTGGATGTGTAAAGGCCCTGCAGCCACCTTTCCAGATGACAGACCTGATCCCATCTGTCCCCAAAAATACCCACGACCAGACCCTCTTTCAGGTCTGGCTCCATTGGTGTGGCCAGTCCAGGTGGTCAGACTTGGAGCGAGGACTTCTAGTTCCTAGCACACCTCTGGGTGCCACTCCACTTGGACCATTTTCAGGGGCAGATCTTAACCCCCAGGTCACACATGTCGCCTACATGTTCGGTGACCATTAATAAGTTGGTTTACTACAAACCAACACTTCTTTCTTTTCTTCTTCAGAGGACAGGCCAAATATGGATGATGTCAGTTTCTGTCTCTACTCTGCCTGCTGTTTCCTGTGCTGGGTCGGAGGCTTCCCATCGGGGCAGGGACAATGCTCCCTCTGTACTGGCTATGCCAAGAGCCAAAGAAGGCAGCGGGAGCCAGGCCTCCCCAGTGGCTGTCTCTCATTGTGGAAAGTTTTTAATATCAATGCAATTTCAAATAGTTACAGAACTCCTATATAATATCTTTGTTTCAGTATGCTACATTCTATTTTTTTCAGGCTCAATTACAAAAATTAACTATTACCAGTAATTTAAAATGAACTAAGCTACACACCAAAGGGAGTGGAAGAGGACGCAGAATCATTCACGAGAGTTATGCCCTGGAACACGCAGTAAGTGAGACCTCATCAGTATCTTTATCTTTGGAAACTAAGAATAAAGACCATATTAGGAAATTTCTACTATAAAAACAGATGCCAACATAAATGTTCACCTCTGTGGTGCACTTTAATGAGCAAACAGTAGGATTTCTGGAAGGAACTGACTTACCACTCAGTTATTTGTTTTTGTGATTTAAAACTGGGGGAGCAGATAAAAAGCCCCATTGTGGTCAATGTTGACACAGGTCTCCGTGGAGAATTAATTAAGGGACAAGCTGTGATGTCCCCTTACTCTTTGGGAGAGACCATTTGTGCTCAGATCACTGAAGTACAGCTTTCCTTAAGGAGCTCCCTTTCAAAGTTCAGAGATAGTACAGCGGGTAGGGTGCCCGCCTTGAAGGCAGCTGACCTGGGTTCAACCTTGGCATCCAATGAGGTCCCCTGGTCCTACCCTCAGTGATCCCTGAGTGCAGAGCCACGAGTAAGCCCCTACTACTGCCAGGTGTGGCCCCCAAACAAAAGCAAGAACAAAAGAGCTTCCTGTTGAATTTCAGAATATTAGTTTTCCAATGTGCTTCAAAAACAGACTTGAAGGTTTTGCAACTAAAGAAATAGCCACTAAAATCAGACAGAACTGCTCAACTGATTAGCAGAATATTTCCTGTTTTGTTTTTTTAAAGGAAACATAATTTCACAGTTGACTATAGAAACACGGGAAAGAAATCTCACCCAAAATATCTATAATTAAAAATTTGTATCTTTGGGCTAAACATATAATTATGAAGTAATTTCCTCTCTGCACAGCTGAAAAGGACACACAAACTAATCTATACAGCGGAAGGACTATCCTATGCTTCTGCTTCTCATTTTTCAGAGGAGATGGACTGTTTGTCCCAGGAATTAAATTTAATGCTAAATAATTTTCATTTGTAGAGCATTCTATCTCAAATCTTCCAGGCACCATTTTAAAATGTACTCACTCTTCTAAGAAACCCATACACTGCTATTTGGGGTGGAAGAGAGTGGTCTGACTCCAGGCCTAATTAAACACACATTTAACTAGCATCTCTGCAGAAGTGTGCAAAGAGCTCTGAAAACAG